GCCTGCGCCGCCAGCAGCCGCACCTGCCGAGGCAGGCACCAACGTGCCGCAGGGAGCCGATGCTGCCGCTGGAGCAGCGAATGCCGACGGCACCTTCGACGCGGCTGCTGCGATGCACGGCATCAAGCGTGGCCTGCGTCCGGAGAACCTCAAGCTGCCGCCCAACAAGCGTGCGAAGAATGCCGTGACTGGCAAGGCGATGAGCCCTTCGGCCGGCGCCAACGAGTCGCCCAGGGTGGCTCCGTCACCTGCACAGCCCGAAGACACGCCGACGCCGGCCGGATCGACACCCGCCGGCAAGGGCGGCAAGAAGAACGACAAGCCGGTCAAGGCCGGCAAGACGACTGTCAAAAAGGGCAAAGGCGCCGCGGGCACGCCAACGTCGTCGGCGGCCGAGCCGGACAAGAAGTTCAAGACGAGTGCCGACATTATGGCCGAAGTCAAGCGCGAGATGGCCGAGGCGGAGCGCAAGCGCCGCGAAGAGGGCGGCGGTGGTGCATCTGCTGGCGACGCTTCGGCTGGCGCGGCTGCTGCCAAGGTCGACAGTGCCAACATCAAGGCTGAAGAGGAGGCGGAAGAAAAGCGCAGGAAGGACTCTGAACTTGCTGGACGCGATCCTGCCGGACTGGTCGAGTCGACTTGGCAAGAGCTGCTGGCGACGGGCCATGCCAACAACAACCACCTGCGCGGCATGAACGGTATGCCTGGCGACTTGTCGCTGCTGGGTGCGCCGAGTGGCGGAGCGGGTGGATCGAGCGGTTCGGACCCGAAGGCGCTGCAGTCGCTCATGTCGCTGCTGGGCCAGGACTCGATGCTGGCAGGCTTGCCTGCGGATGGGTCGGCGGCCGCCAACAAGGGCAGCGGCTCGGGCGATGGCGGCGCTGCGTCTGGCTCGGCGTTCCTCAACGGAGCGATGGACTCGCTGCCATCGGCCGACGCGGATGCGGGCCTGGACATCGACCTGTTTGACTTTATCGAGGCCTCGGCGGCCGGGCCGGACGCGTTCAACGAGGCGGACGGCGAGCTTGGCGGCATGTTTGGCACGGGCGGGCTGAATGCATCGACGCAGGAGAGCGAGCCGCCGGTGGAGACGCCGGAGCTGGTGGCGAGCGCGCGGCTGCCGGGCGGCAGTTCGAACGCGTCGTCGAGCTCCAACTCGACCCACAACTCGCTGCGAGCCAAGCTGCCCGGGGCGCTGGGAGGGCACGGGCTGGATTTTGGCTCTGCCGGACCGTCGAGCACGAGTCCGGCGGAAATGAGCAGCTGCGATGAGATTGATCTGGACAAGAGCCCGTTTGTCCATCGAATGCGACTTGACCGCATCGGCTTGACGATCGCACCCGCGGCCTCGGCGGCCGATGCGGGCAAGGCGACTTCGACTTCGGCGACCTCGACGACGACGAACCAAGCCGGCCAGAGCACAGCCAAGGCTCCGGAAGAGGCGGCGGTCGGCCAGGTTGAGCTCGGACCTGGTTCGCACGGCATCATTGCAGGCTCGGGCGACGAGTGGTGGGACCTGGACCACTTCGGCAACACGCTCGGCGGCAGCGGAGCCTTTGGATCCGATGCCAACGCCGACCAGCCCTGGGCGGTGCTGAGCTGATTCGCGCAGTAGACGACGGACGCCAGCCACACCAAGCCACGCCACTTCGTTGGCCTTGCACTTGCACGGACCCTTTGTGGATGCCGCGCTCACTTGCCCTCCAGCGGCGGTGTCACATATATTCCCCGGCGGCGCCCTCGGCTGCCTCTTTTCTCCACGCCCTTTGGCATTCATCCTCTGCTTTTTTGATACCGATACTTTCTTCTCTTCTGGCCTTTGTCTGTTTTCCTCGCTTGCTGGGCCTCTCATTTTACGATTCGCTTTTTCGTCATGCTGGTCCGGTTCACTACTGTCGATGTGTTGTTGTTTCCTCAATGCCATACGATTGGTTCGCTTTGTTGCTGCAGGGTGGGTTGGGCGAGCTGCAATCCCGTGTGCCCTCCTGCATCCTGCAGGCCCTGCTTGGTGCAGGGTGGCGCAAAAGATGACGATGTGAGATTTTGCGAGCTGCTGCTTCGGGAGACGGAAAACAGAGATGTTTAGCCAATAAACGCGTTCGGAAGTTGCATGACGGCTTGGCGAGCGGGCACGCGCATCGACGGAAGCGGATTGGAAATGCGCAGCCTGGCTGCCCTTCTCTCTCTCTCCCCCCCCCCCAGACTCTCGGGCCACGCATTTCCTGCGCGCGCACTGGCGGAATGTCCGATGCCCTGCATGCCGGACAAAAAGGAAAGGGAAAAAAAGAGCGAGAGCACAGCAGCCTCCACCTGTGCTGTGCGTCTGCATCTGCATGTGATTGTGATTGTGATTCCTGCTGGATCGCCAGCCCACGGCCGCATGCTTTGAAGCGAGAGAAGCGTCCAAACTGAGCGGGAGTCTGCATTCTGTCATCCGCCATCCGCCATCCGCCTTCCGCCCATTTCCTTCCCGCTTTTCGGGCAGTGCATTGTGCAGCTGCATATGTTCAAGCACCGCTCCGCATCCTCGCCTCCTCTCCTCTCCTCACCCACCCCCACCACCACCGCCATCGTTGCGCGCTCACACTCTCCGTTACTCCCTGAGCCTTTCTCGTCGAGCTAGCTCTGCTCCTACATATACCCGAACCCTCTCTAAAGTCAGACCATCCCTCATCCTTATACGCACCTCCCTTCCGTCCAAAGGCCAAGCAGCAATCATGACGACGCTCAACGTGCGCACGGGGCCCATGCTCCGCTACGACTCGGTCGACGTCGGCAACTATCTCTACCACGCATTCGCCATGATCGTCACCGAAGATGCTACCAGCGACTACTCGATCGTGCCTACGATGCAGCTGCGCTGGCAGAACGCCTCGGCCGTCTCGGCGGCTACCGCCGACGGCTCCACCGCCGTGTCCGAGGACAACTCGCACGCCTCGTCGCAGGCCATCAAGCTGTACCAGTACCACGGCGCCGAGGGCTCGTTCACCTTTTGGCGCTTCAAGATCGAGATCCCCATGGCCGACCACGAGCTCGCCGTGCACTACTCGATCGACGGCGAGGCTCACCCCAACTCGCAGTCCGAGGCGATCAAGGGCCTCACCGGACACACCTTCTTCGTGCCCGCCAAGTCGCAGAACTTCCGCTGGGCCGGACACAGCTGCAACGGCTTTAGCGCCAGCGTCGACGAGTCTGAATTCAACGGTCCCAACCCGCTGTGGGACGACATGCTCAAGGCGCACGCCGCCAAGCCCTACCACGCCGTCGTTGGCGGCGGCGATCAGATCTACTGCGACAAGCTCGTGCGCGAGCCCGAGATGCAGGAGTGGAACAACCAGAGCGACTCCAAGAAGCGCATGGCTATGCCGCTCACCGACGAAATCCGCACGTGCATCGACCGCTACATGTTCAACCACTACTGCGAGTGGTTCGGCGGCGGCTCGTTTGCCAAGACCATCGCGCAGGTGCCCATGATCAACATGCTCGACGACCACGACCTCATCGACGGCTTCGGCACATATCCTGACGAGCTCATGCGCGCCGCCGTCTTCAACCACGTCGGCGCGCGCGGCTACTTCTTCTTCCTCCTCTTCCAGCTCTTTGTCAACGACGACGTCGACGGCGTCAGCGAGACGGCCCATCCGCAGAGGAGCATGCTCATCGGTCCGCAGGGCGTGTACATTCCGTTCAAGAACCACAGCCTGCTCTCGTACCTCGGGCCCAAGCAGTGGATCCTGCTGGTCGACTGCCGCTCGGAGCGCAAGATCGACCAGATCTGCTCCAAGGAGACGTACGCACGGCTGTTTGCGGCGGTGCGCGCCATGCCGGCGGGCGTGGAGCATCTGATCGTGCTGCTCGGTGTGCCGCTGGCGTATCCGCGCATGGTCTTCCTCGAGCGCACGCTGAGCAGCTCCATGAACCCGCTCATCATGCTTGCCAAGGGCCTCTCTCCTGGCTTCACCAACAACTTCAACGGGCAGGTGGAGTTGCTGGATGACTTGGGCGACCACTGGTGTGCGGGTCCGCACAAGCACGAGCGCAACTGGCTCGTGGAGCGTGTGCAGGAGGTGGCGCTGGAGAGGCATCTGCGCATCTCGTACATGAGCGGCGACGTGCACGCTGGCGGTGTCGGCGTGTTCTATGGATACCACCAGCACGATCCCAGTTTGGACCCCAAGTATTCGCTCGCGGTGATTACGAGTGCGATCGTCAACACACCTCCTCCGCCCGCGGTTATTTCGATGCTCAACAAGCTCGCGAGCAAGAAGCACCGCTCGCTCTTCTACTGTGGCACCAAGGAGACCATGGTGCCGCTGTTCGAGACGGATCTGGAGGGCAAGAAGCAGAAGGACAAGTACATTATCGGCGCACGCAACTGGTGCAGCGTCGAGTACCTCGAGGCGTCGGGCGAGGTCGAGTTTGATCTGCGCGTCGAGAAGGTGAGGGGAGGCGGAGAGACCAAGAGCTATGCGGTCAAGGCTCCCAAGCCCAGATGGGATGTGGCCAAGCAGCAGTAAGTTTGACGTTATGACTCAAGGGGAAGAGCGAAGAGATGCTGACCGATGGATTGTTTTGACAGTCACCATCTGCTTCACTCGAAGGACTTTGATAAGCACGCAGCTACGCTCACCAGCGCGAGCGCGAGTGCCAACTAGAGTTGCCGCAATACCGAACCACCGCCTCGTTAAGATTTCCCGTCGAGTTGGATACCCCACCACCGCCACCACGTTTCTTCCTCTAGCTTTGTTGATTGCGTTTTCGAATCAGACCTTTCTTGCGATTGCCTTGCACTTGCTGCTCTTTTGTGACGACAAACGCGACGATGACATTCTACTCGACGCACTCGGGCCTGGTCTTGTGCTGTCTGTTTCGTCGCACTGAAGCTTCTGTGTGGTGTTGGACGCAGATTCTCATCGCTGCACCGTGGCTTTCTTCGACTCCTGGCACACACACGCACTGGATCCTGGGAGGGTTGGGAACTTTCGCATTGGCAGTGGGTACTAGACGGACTGGAGTTGTTGTGCCATGAGACGCTGAATTTCCTCCTTCCTATTCTCCTCCAAACTGTACGCATCGGCAGTCTCCCTTGCATTCTCCAACGACTTTTCTGCCGCTTGTCGTCTACCGACTGCAGCAGCCACGTCCATCTCTGCATCCGCCAGCTCGACCCTTGCATTCCTAATCGCTGCGCGCTTTGCACCCATAAGTGCACTGCCCACAAAAGCTCCCCTTGCCGCCTCGAGCGCCATCAACTCGGCATCCAGTTCGGGCGTCAACTTCCATGCTGCACTAAAGTGCGGCACCACCACCGACGAGGTAGCAGCGGCGGTGGGAGTGTGTGCCGATGAGGTGCGCGATAATCGTGGTGCCGAGAGGTGGTTGGGTGTAGCAGTGGATGGTGAGAATGGCGAGGCCTCGTGTGGGGATGAGCCGCCGTGGTACTCGTCCCCACCGGGGGGAGGGTAGGCGTCGTATGGGTGCGGGTTGGTGTCTCTTCGTCCGCGACCATAGGACGGATGGCCGCCTCGGTAGGCTGCAGGTGGACCGTCCCGCGACGTGCGTGGGAACCGCGCGGTGGATGGCGAGAGGTAGCTGCTACCTTCGCGCTCGCGGTCCGATCCGGGCGTGTACGCGCCAGTAGACCCCGAACCCTCGCGACCCCGAAACGCGGGCGACGGTAGTGGAGCACCACCACGTCGGCTGTAGCCGGATCCACGCGGACCAGTCGGAGGCGTGGCTGCGAATCCCTCGTCGATGCCGCGCGGTGGTGGGCCGCGCGGTGTAGCGTGCGCGTCCGCCTCGATGCGTTCCGATGGCCCTGCGTACGGCTGGTCTGGCGCGTCCATATGTGCTGCAGGCGGCGGCGTGCGTCGCGCATAGCCTGCATCTGGGTACCTCGCCTCGAGCGCACGTCCCTCACCAGCCGATCCCACCGAAGTTCTACCCCACGACGTCGCCCCTGCGTGCCCCGCCTCGGGACTGCGCGATCGCATCCTCCTCCCCTGTGGCGGATAGTCTCTCGGTGGTCGCTCGTACTCCGGCGGCCTATAGCTCCTATCTTCGTCGAAATCGCGCGACCATCCATCGCGTTGCATCTGCGCGCGGTCTGCGCGCGCCGTGTCGCGCTCCCTCTCGCGGCGCTGTTCCTCCATGCGCTGTTCGTACCGCTGCGCCTCCATCGCCTCCCAAGCCTCGCGCTCGCGTTCAAGCGCCGCCCTCTCCTCATCATTCCGCGGCGGAGGTCGTCGGCTGTAGTCCCACGGCCGCGGAGGCGGCACCGCCTTGTGCACGCGCCGACCGCGCCCCGAATAGCCGCGCGGCTCAGAGTAGTAGGCCGGCCCAAAGTCGCGCGGCGCGCCGTAGCGGAAGTCGTCATCGCGGTGACGTGGAGGTGCCGGGTAGCGTCGATCGTCCAGAGGAGCACGGTTGCCCCGGTAGGCAGAGCCCTGGTATCGGTCCGACATCGTGCTGAGGGTGCGTGAAGAGAGCGAGATGGATGAGGTGACGGTTGGATGCGAGACGAAGCAAGGTGCGAATTTGGGAACGGTTGAGAATTTCGGAATTCGGAAAATTTTCAAAGCTACCAGCGCAAGCGCTGAGGCTGTCGATACGCGTGGCGGCCAGAGAGGTGGCGGCTTGAGAGATGGGACTGCATCGCAGCGCTTGACATGCTCCCACCTGTTGCGGAAAGCGCGGAGTCGCCCACCTTTCCCTCCCCTCCATTGGCTTTCACTGAGATTCGAGGACGGGTGCAATAGAACAGTGGCACCAGGGCTACCGAGACAGGGCTCTACAGTGCTCCATCCAGGCGAAGGAGAAGTGAACGGTCCGGCTTCCAAAAGAACCGGAGTCGAGGTCGAAGCAAGAGCGTGTGGGGCTGCACGATAGGATCGGAGCATCGAGGTGACACACGCAAAGAAAGAGTAAAGTTAGGCGCCGGTCGACTCGACGCCCAAGATGATGAACCCACCTCATCTGGGTCAGGCGACAACGAGGGCAGCACTTCAGTGCAGGTGGATATCACACGAAGCGCGACCCCCCTGTTTTCGCAGATGAGACTGGGCGCAAGGTGGGCGAAATGATCAACGTAAAGCGTGTCAGCTACAGATAGCGAGCAGTAGTCCCCTGCAACCACATGCGTCTTGATGATACGTACCTACTGTGGCAGCGATACAGCAGGGGTTCGAGTCCGAAGCACCTTGGGCATCAAGCATAAAAGGGGGCCTTACACGGCTCGAATTGAGGTTGCTCCCTCAACAAGTGCTGGACACACCACCGAACAATCTTCTTGACCTGACCTTCATCATGGGTGTGAAGCGCATGCAGCTTTTCTTCTTTGCAGCCGTAGCCATGACGCTGGCGTCTTGGCCTGCCGCCACGTCGGCGGGTGGACTTCCCACCACGCCATACGCAACGCACTTCCACGACTGCTGCATGGCTGCCTTCAGTTGGCCTGCCAAGGGCGCTGGAGGAAGCGACCCTCGCTATGCGCCTGTCGACGTCTGCGAGAAGGACGGCATGACGCTCGTGTCGGAGCAATCCCGGATCGGCAACAAGAGCGGCTGTGAGGGAGGCAGTATGTTCGTCTGTAGCTGCATGCAGCCCTGGATCGACACTGTCGACCCGACGCTCGCGTACGGGTTTGCGGCGTACAACATCCACGACCCCGACGGTACGATCGAGAGCGCGTGCTACCTGAGCGAGTTCCAGGAGCACGATGGCAATGGCAAGCCCATGTCGATCCGCAAGATGATCCTGCAAAACATCAACACGAGTCAGGGCATTCTCAAGGGTAGTTTCGACATGATGCTCGCCGGAGGTGGCGTGGGCGATTACAACAAGGGCTGTGCTGCACAGTGGGGCTCGGATTGGGGCCAGCGCTATGGAGGAGTGGACAGCGAACAGGCTTGCTGTAAGCTGCCCGAGGGACTGAGGTCATCGTGCCTGTTTAGATTCAAACATCTGGGTGAGAACCCGCCACTGGCTGGTACGCCGCAGAGGGTCAGATGCCCGGTGGGGATTATTGATAGGTCGGGATCGCAGCGCAAGGACGATGCACAGGTGGCCGTGTACAAGGGCACTACGGATAAGACGGGTCAGCCGGCTCCGGACAAGTACCAGCGTCAGCGCAGCGTGTGCGCCAACGTCGACCCGCTCGGTATCGTCAGCTCGACGTGTGGTGGCAGTGATGGGGGAAGCCGCCTGCCCAAGGGATATGCAAAGACGCGTCAGGACTGGGAGGGTCAATCGCCTGTTGATGGTCAGCCGCCTGTAGTGCGTCAATCGCCCGTTGCACGTAATGCGGGACATGGCGGACACCACAAGCATGGAGGCCACCACAAGCACGCCCAGGATCAGCCCGCCGTCCAACCCGGTGCTCAACCCGGTGCTCAACCCGGTGCTCAACCCGGTGCTCAACCCGGTGCTCCATCCGATGCTCAACCCGGTGCCCAACCTGGTGCTCAACCTGGTGCTCAATCTGGTGCTCAACCCGATTCTCAAGCTGGTGCCCAGCCCGATGCCCCGGAGGGATACTGTCCGACGCCTTGAGCGGTTCTCTTCAAGACCGCCATGCTGCAGATTTCTCATTCGGTTATGCTTCTGAATCTCATATTGCTTCGTTGATGTCAGAGAGTGAGTATTGAGGGGCAGCTCAATTTCGAGATGGGCTTTGTGAGACACGGCTGTCACACAGCGCCCGACGGGTCCATTGTGTGGAAAACAAGGCAGTTGGCTTGGGCGCGCCTCTGCAGTGTGACTGTGCTTTGCTGAAGAATGCACGTGTCTGTCAGGCTGCTGGAAGGGCGAAGGGCGGTGATGCGCGGTGCAGGCTGAGGTTTAAAGGCGGATTTTTCTTCGTCTGGACCCGACGCTCAGGCCACTTTGACAGGGCGAGAGAAGCGCGCGTGGCCGAAAAGACTGGCTGCGCTGCGCTGCGCGTGCCGCGTGTCGCCGTGCAAGCCGAAAAAAAGGTCGAGATGCCGTGCACCGGCGAGCCAGCCTCGGTCGGCCAAGCTGTGTTGAGGTGAGATGATGGCATGGCTTGCCGTCCATGACAACGGCCACGGCAAACCGGCCAACGCTCCTTCCATCCTTTCCCCCACCATTCTGTCCATCGCTCCTTCCCTCTTTCCTTCGATACCCCGTGCATCCATCCCGCCTTTCCGACAAGCGGCAGTGCGTGCTACGGTCGCAACAAACAATACCCACGCTCCCTTTCCCACCATCAATATCCGTGCTGTGCGTCGCGCTTCCAGCTCCCGCCACCACCTAGGCTCGGCCTCCTGCGCCACTAGCGCGCTCAAACTCACCTTGGCTCCAGTAGCACCCTACTGCTGCGATCCCCGCCATGGCGTCCCTGCTCAAGCACAAGGACTTTGCCGCTACGTCTAACAACGCAGCGCCCACAGACGGTCCCACCGAGGCGCAGATCAATGCGGCTCGTGCCCAGGACGACGCAGAGCGAGCCGCTGTCAACGCACGCTTGAAGCAAAACGAAGCGGCAGGCGCTCGCGTCCTCGAGTTCGACGAAAATGCCACCCCAGAGGAGAAGGCTGCACAGGCTGCCAAGGCTATGGACCGCCTTAAGCCCAAGACTGCCGMCGCCGCCAAGAACGACGCCGGTCACGGCATGGTCTCGGACATCGGTGGCAAGAAAGTCGACCCTACCCTCAATCTCAGCGACGTCGACAAGCTCAACCAGCAGGAAAAGGCCGCTCCAGGCTCGCTCCCCGTCGGGCAACCCACCAACAACCTTCCCAACTGGTACACGGTCGGATGGACCGGCCTCGCCCGTGCCAACAAGGGCCTCAGCCCAGACCAGTCCGTCACACCCGCCGAAGAGGCTCAGATGGATCTCATCAGCACCTTCCTCAGCGACGCCTACTACGGCCAGTTCTACTGGAACGCTGCCGTCATCATGATCGCCGTCCTCTTCACCTACTTTGCCACCCGTCTCGGCGGCGGTATCGCCTCCCTCCTCATCATCGGCGCGTTCTGCTCCACCTACTACAACACCTCCATGCGACGCACCCGCCAGCGCGCCAGGGACGACATCACCCGCGAAATGGCAAAGAAAAAGATGATCTCCGAACACGAGTCCGCAGAGTGGATCAACCACTTCCTCTCCCGCTTCTGGCTCATCTACGAACCCGTCCTCTCCGCCACCATCATCGGCATCGTCGACCAGATCCTCCTCCAAAACTGCCCTCCCTTCCTCGACTCCATCCGCATGACCACCTTCACCCTCGGCACAAAGGCACCGCGCATCGACTCGGTCCGCACCTTCCCCAACACCGAAGAGGACATCGTCATGATGGACTGGAAGTTCAACTTCACCCCGTCCGACGTACAGGACCTCACCGTCAAGCAGGCCGCGCAAAAGATCAACCCCAAAATCGTCCTCACCGTCCGCCTCGGCAAGGGCTTCGTCGGCGCAGGCCTCCCCATCCTCCTCGAAGACATCAACTTTGTCGGCTACGTCCGCCTCCGCATGAAGCTCATGAGCAACTTCCCGCACGTACAGCTCGTCGACATGTCCTTCATGGAGCCGCCCAAGATCGACTACGTCCTCAAGCCCATCGGCGGCAACACCTTTGGCTTCGACATCGGCAACATCCCCGGCCTCTCCGACTTTATCCAGGGCCAGATCCACGCTAACCTCGGTCCCATGATGTACCACCCCAACCAGTTCACCATCAACCTCGAACAGATGATGTCCGGCACCCCGCTCGACACCGCCGTCGGCGTCCTCCAGGTCAACATCTGGTCCGCTCGCAACCTCAAGGGCGTCAAGCTCGGCGGCGGCACCCCCGACCCCTACGTCACCCTCTCCATCGACAACCGCGACACGCTCGCAAAGACCGCCACCAAAAAGGGCACCTCTAATCCGCAGTTCAAGGAGACCAAGTTCGTCCTCCTCAACAGCCTCAACGGCATGCTCACCATGTCCCTCATGGACTACAACGAGCATCGCCCCGACTCCAACCTCGGCCAGGCCGCCTTCGACCTCAAGGAGCTCATGGAAGACCCCGAACAGGAGAACCTCAGCACGCCCGTCATCCTCGACGCAAAGGAGCGCGGCGAGGTGCAGTACTCGCTCTCTTACTACCCGGTCGTCAAGCCAGAGCTCGGCGACGACGGTCAGCCCAAGCCGCTCCCCGAGACGCGCTCCGGTGTCGTCCGCTTCACCCTGCACCAGGCCAAGGAGCTCGACAAGCGCTCCGGCTTCTCCGGCGAACTCTGCCCCAAGGGTCGCATCCGCCTCAACGGCCAGCAGGTCAAGGACACCCTCGTCATCAAGCGCAACACCAACCCCATCTTTGAAATGCCCACCGAGTTCCTCGTCACCGACCGCAAGAAGGCCGTCATCACCGTCGAGATCCTCGACGATCGCGACCTGCGCTCCGACCCCGTCGTCGCCTACGTCAGCATCCGCCTCGAAGATCTGCTCGCCGCCAAGGAGAAGCAGCAGGACTGGTTCCCGCTCAAGAACTCCAAGAACGGTCGCGTGCGCATGTCGGCAGAGTGGAAGCCCGTTCAGATGTCCGGCAGCATGAACGGCAGCAGCGGCTACACTCCGGCCATCGGCGTCGTCAAGTTCTGGATGAAGCGCGCCACCGACGTCAAGAACGTCGAAGGCCTCACCGGCGGCAAGTCCGACCCATACGTCCAGCTCCGCGCCCGAGGCCAGCCCGTCGACGGCAGCACCATCATCAACAACAACCTCAACCCCGAGTGGAACGAGATCCTCTATGCGCCCGTCCACTCGCTGCGCGACAAGATCACCGTCGAGGTCATGGACTACCAGAACACCAGCAAGGACCGCTCGCTCGGCAATGTCGAGGTGGACGTCGCGCAGCTCGCCACCGAGTCGGCCGGCGCTGACGCGCGCACCCGCTTCGCCAGCACGGGCAAGCACGCGCACAAGGACAAGATCCACCTCGGCCGAGGCATCTACAAGGGAGAGATCGAGTTCGACTGCCAGTTCCTCCCGGCCGTCAACCTCAAGGGCGCCGAGTTTGGCGAGCGCGAGAACCAAGCCGCTGCCAAGAGCGGTGCCATCATCGAGGAGACCGAGGAAGAGGAGGCCGCCTCGAAGCAGTCGGTCGAATCCTCCCGCGCCAACGGCGTCAAGGGGGCGGCTGCTCCGACCAATGGAGCCGCCGCTGCGGCCAAGGGCCATACCAAGAATGCGGATTCGATCGCCTCGCTCGCCAGCCTCAAGACCGCCGGCACGGGCAACGGCCGTCCGTCGACTGCGGCCGAGCGCGCCGAGGAGGGCGTGAGCATGTCCAAGGAGCAGCTGCTGCGCGAGCAGTCGGGCATCCTCGTGTTCAACATTCTGCAGGGCCAGCTTCCGCATCACAAGAAGAACGCGCGGCTCGAGGTGCTCTTTGACGACGGCTACTGGCCCTCGTACACGACCGAGAAGGCGCGCACGGCGCACTGCACCTGGGACGAGGTGGGCGAGTCGGTGGTCAAGGAGCTGGACTGGTCCAAGTTCCTGCTCAAGCTGCGCACGGGCGAAGGCGACGAGGACGTGTTTGCCGAATTCACGGGCAACACCAAGGACGTGCTCGAAAAGACGCTCGACTCGCAGTACGAGTTCCGGCTGCACAACGCGGCGGGCGCGCAGGTGGCGAGCGTGGTGATCGAGTGCCGCTACATCCCCATCGACCTGCACCTCGAGCCGGTGGAGAGCGTCAACAACCAGGGCTACCTGCGCGTGGATCTGGTGCATGCGCGCAACCTGCGTGCGGCGGACCGCGGCAACCGTTCGGATCCGTACTTTGCGTTTGTGCTCAACGGCGAGCGGCTGGCCAAGTCCAAGGTGGTCAAGAAGACGCTCAATCCGGACTTTAACGAGAATCTGGGCGAGTTCAAGGTGCCGTCGCGCGTGGCGGCCGAGGCGGTGTTTGAGGCGTACGACTGGGACCAGGTGGGTACGCCGGACCGGCTGGGCAATGCGCAGGTGGACCTGAGCGTGCTCGAGCCGTTCGAGCCGTTGGAGAAGACGTATGCGCTGACGGGCAAGGGCTCGACGGACAACTCGGAGGTGACGCTGCGCTTTGTGTTCAAGCCGGACTTTGTGACCAACCGCGAGCGCAAGGGCACGAGCATCAGCCGCACGTTTACGTCGGGCGTCGCAGGTGTGGGTCGCGCGGGCGCCGGCGGTGTGCTGGCCGTGGGTACCGGAGTTGGCAAGGCGGGCTTTGGCGTGGGCAAGGGCGTGGTGGGTATTGCAGGCAAGGGCGTGGGCGGTGTGACCAAGGGCGTGGGCAGTATCATCAGGCCTGGGGGCAGGAAGACGTCGGCGGGCGAGGCGTTGCTGACGGACGAGGCGGTGATCGATCCTGCAACGGGCGAGCTGGTGGTACCGTACGCGACCGAGGGGCTGCCAGCATCGTCGGCGGGCGCAGGTCTGGCCGGCGGGCTGAATATTCCGGTGCCAGCGATTTCAGAGGATGCGAGGGGCAGCATGGACCACGATGCGCGATCCATGGCCGAGTCGCAGGGCACACCGTCCAAGCGCAAGTCGCGTCTGCACAATCCGTTCAAGCGCCATACCTAGGCGTTTTGCCAATTGTATATAGCAATGTCAAGCCGTGTGGACTTGGGCACCCTGTGTGGAGAGTGCGAGTTCGAAGGAACAGTCCAGTGCACGGGGCGACGAGTCTGCGCTACGTTGGGAGGAGTGGCGTTGTGGCCATCGCAGAGGAGTGGATGCGGGCGCAGGACGGCCATCGGCAACGGATCATGACCGGGAACGTGGGATCGACTGTAGATACGGTCTCACACGGGTAGACGGCGTACCGGCTGAAAAAGGCGGTAGAGCCAGCGGTGGAGGCAGCAATCGACTGTAGACACGACGCATACGCTGGGCAGCGTATCGTCTGTAGAGAGGGTGTATACGGCATACACGGTACGTACGGGAGATAGCGTATCGGCGATAGATACGGTGTATACAATAGATGTCGTATCGGCTGTTTTTCCGGTCTCATACGGTCTCATACGGTCTCACACGGTCTCATTCGGTCGACAGCGTATCGGCTGTAGATACGGTGTATACGGTGTATACGGTATATACGGTGTATACAGGAGATAGCGCATCGGAAGTAGACAGCCGTAGAGGCGAGGCAGCAGAAGAAGCAGCAGTAGAGGCAGCGGTTGAGGCTGAGCACCGCTGTGTTTGCGGATTGGCGGTATCGCCGGCTTGGCGGGTGCATGCTCGCGCAAAACGGCAATCAGCGATGTTGCATGCCCGAGAACGCGGGATCGGCTGCAGATACGGTGTGGACAGTAAATAGCGTTTCTGCTATAGACATCGGTTGAGGCATCGGTTGAGGCAGCGGCAGAGGCAAGGGTAGAGGCAGCCAAATCGACTGTGGGGACTACCGTCTCTCATAAAGCTGTCAACGGCGTGCAGACGGTGCATACACAGCAATACACACGGTACAGGCAGCAGGAAGTGTAGAGGTTGCCATAGGAAGAGTGTGCGAGTGAGAGTGAGCGCCAACAAGGCGAGAAGCGGTAGAAAGGAGGAGAAAGGAGGGAGGAGGGGATCGGAACGGATTCCTTGCATCTCGAGCCTGGATCATACCGGCGGAAGCAGAAAGTAAGGAGCTTGCGAGCGCGAGAGCGAGTGAGAGCAAGCTGTCGGCACCGGCCTATCCCCGGAAGAGTAGTCTGCATCAACTTCGCGTAAGCTCCAAGCAGCGATGAAGCAATCTGTGCACTTTCGACCATGTCGTACCGACGTGATGGCGATCATCGACCTATAACAGCACACAGTGAGGTTGGTATGTTCAAGATGGTGCAGCATTCCGCTACGAAAGGTTCATCAGAACGTATTCAGGGCTTGGCCATCAATGCTGTCCTAAAGAGACGTCAAGTGCCGAAGAACCAGCCAGGCATCAGCCAGTGATGAGCGAGCCAGCAGCCACTGAATTCGCCGCGCGTTACTGGCTGCTCGTTGCCACCTATGGTTTTGTGAGCGCAGGATTATCTGATCACCAGCATTCAACACACGACTTCGAACAGCCGGCACATCCGGAGAACTACTGCAGACCGAGTTTCATACAGAGGCTGTGGGCGAGCCTTGGTCACACGGCTTGACGCAGCTGTAAAGCGCATTCATTGATGGCGAGGCGCGGTTTGGACTCTGTGCCGAAATCTTGGCGGCTGGTGCTACCAGAACACTTCAGAACGACAGAAATCAAGGTCGGCTTCAAGGCTTGAGGGTGCACAGCTGCGACGTAAAGCGCAACTGCTCGTAAAAGCAACACGGCACGGGCGAGGATGAGAATACGCATTCATTGAGCATAATTCGCGCTAGATGCGGCGGAAAGCGGCGATGCTGGTGGAAGCACCCGCGGGTCCATCGCCACGACTGCCCTGGTTCTTTGGCTGGACCATGCCGAGCATAATTTCGCGGTCGGACAAGTTAGCCAACCTGCTGCTTTCGGCACGGATGAAGGTGACGATGCGATGGAGGTGGTGCGGGAAGGCGAGTTCGGGATGGGCAGCCGCGAGCGGGTCTAGTGCCGGCAGGATGTTGCCAGGCGCAGGCATCGTAGCTGGATTCTCTGCATCGGGAGGCAGAGTTGAGGGCTGAGCATTTGCGCGGTCTGCAGCCAAAGACGCCGACGCCGCACGCGCATACGCACTTGCATTGGGCCTGGATGCAATCCTCGGATCCAACGAAGCGGCATCACGAGCCAGCTCGGGTTGACCTTCGGGATCGTCCTTCTCGCCATCCACCAGCTTGTCCACACCGGCGAGTTTGCGCTTGACACCGGCGACGGTGCCCCAACCTGCGCCCCAGATGTTTCGCCACACTGCCTGGGCCAATCGAACGTCGCCGGACGCCAGACCTTCGTCGTAGCCCAAGATGCTGCCGCGGTGCTGCATGTGCATGTCGCGCATGTAGCCCTTGACGAGGCGCGAGGTCTGTACGCCAAAGCGATCGCGCATGCGCGACTCTGCATCGATGAAAAAGTGGTTGATCAACTCCTGGCTATACGTCCTGTTGGCCGCACTGTCAAACGCGCGGAAGCGAGCGAGCATGAGGTAGACGTGCAGGTTGGTGATCTGGAACCACGACTGGTACGTCTCGGGCAGCGCACAGTCGCCGTACCAGAAGTTGCGCTCGGCGTGCGCGCGTTCGGCACACCGGTCGTACACGTCGGACGTGACGCGGATCGCAGTGGACGTGAGCGAGTTGTACCCCATCAGACGCGCGAGACCCTTGACAATCGCCACGGTGGCGCGCGAGTAGGGCTCCTTGGACGGAGGCGGCGCACTGGGCGACAGCTGCGACTTGTGCAGCAACGGCGCTGGCGACGACGCCTTGGCCTGCTTGCTGACGGGTGCTGAAGGCGCAGGCAACGAGGTTGGCCGCGTTGATGTGTAGGTGCGCACAGCGGCGGCGGCGGAGGGGGCGGCGAGGAGCACGCCGCGCGAGACGGCGAGACTCGACGAAGAGGCCTTGACGAGCATTGTGACTCCGATTCCAAGGGGTGGGAAGAGATGGTGGAGAAGTGAGGCGGGTAGGTTGGACGTTGACAGCGGAATGTAGGCCAACGCTTTTTCTTTGCTAAGAAGGTCCTTCTTCGCGCGCTGCAGCCTGAGCGCCGATGACTGGGCCTCCAACCGGGCAAAAAAACGGATTCGGTCAGAATTGTGGGTGGAGGTGGACAGCGGATCGGCATCGGTCGAGAGTGCATCCCGATGGAGCACCGATTCGAGTTGATGGATGGAGACAGCCCGCGGAAGTCGCGGTTCGGTTCAAAGCAGGCGAGGCTGAGAAACTTTTGCCGAAATCAATCTCACTCGGCGCTGCACTTCGGCCGCTGCACTGTGAGGGAATCCGGACTGGCATGGCCGAACGCACGAACCCACCCGCCGACGCAGCTGTGTGTGTGTGTGTGTCTGTGTATGTGTGTGTCTGTGTGTGTGTGTGTGCCTGAGAGCGCCAGAGGAGCTGCACTGCGTCGTGGACCCTAGAGCGCTTCCCCCACGTATGCTGCTGATTGCACACCACCACCAACATCATCGCTGTACGCCTGGCCGTACCTCTGCGAGTAGAAGATGATCAAGGGCGCAGGCGGAGCGGTGGCCGGTCCATCGCGGCTGTGCAGATCCACGTTGCAAGCTGTCACACCGCGGCTGGCGTGCGTGTCGTCGTTCTCGACCTCGTGCGCACCACCCCAGCGCTCAATGCTGTCCTCGCCGAGTGCACGACTATTGGACGCAAAAGGCAAGCAACGATGGATTGAGCCGTCTGTGCACGCTGCAGCGTCGTGTCTGTGCACGCACGGCCAGCGACGCCACCAGCAAACGTTCGTGCGCACCACCTCGCCGGCGGGAGGCCAGGCACGCATCCAGCTCAAGTCGACGCGCAATGGCGTGTTTGGGCTCTCGACATCGCGCGGCACGCGCGCCTACCAAGAAGATACGGCGTCGGTTTCGTGTCTGCACGTGCCCACGGACGAGCTGCGTCGCAATTACCTCAAGCTACACGCGCACTCTGCGTCACGCGCGGGCGTCGCCGCCGCCAATGCTGCGCTCGAGTGGGATCCGGACAAGGCGGGCGGCGACGAGCTCGCAGGACAGGTGGTTTGGTTCGGCTGCTTCGACGGCCACGGCGGCCAGCAGGTGTCGACATTCCTGCGCGACGAACTGCACAATACGTTTGAAAACGTCCAGAGCGATATGGTCACCGACACGGTGCAGTATACGCGTGAGCTCGGCGGATACTTTCGCCGATTCACCGGCGGTCTATTGGAACGCTGGGTGCGAAAGGAGGAGCTCAAGCCCGTGCGTGCCGGACCTGCAGCGGGGCGTCGTGCGCCCGCGGCTGCTGCGGGTGCGGGTGCGGGTGGCGATGGCAAGAGTGGCGATGGCCAGAGCGACGCGCCCAACCAGGTGGAGCATGTGTCGAAGCCCGAGACGCTCAAGAACATGCTGAGCCACGAGCAGCAGCGTAACATCGCGGCCAAGGCGGCGGCGTCGAGCAAGACCATGCTGCAACCCACGCGCAAGTCGGGCGCCATCATGATCGGCGGCAGCATGGGCGGCGTTGCCGACGCGGGCTGGGACGTGCTCACCAAGCGCATCCCGCCTCCCGACGGCATGGAGAAGGAGACGATGACCATGGCCGAACGCCTCACGCTCGCCTGGCTCGTTGCAGACCGCCAGATCCAGTCCAACCCAAACCTCGACGTGGGCGGCAGCACGGCGTCGGTGGCGTTGCTGCATTCGCTCGACATGCCTTCCGCTGCATGGTACTCGTCCGAATTCGTGGGTCTGCACGTGGCGCACGTGGGCGATACACGCATGCTGCTGTGCGCGGCCAAGGACGGCAAAGCCGTGCCTTTGACCACGTACCACCATCCGGACGAGCCGTCCGAGTCGGAGCGTCTGCGCAAGATGGGCGGCGGCATGGTGACCGACTCGTTTGGCGAGGCGCGCTGGATGGGAGCGCTGGCCAACACGCGTGCGTTTGGCGACTCGCGCTTCAAAAAGGTGGGCATCACCGTCGAGCCCGAGATCTTTTCGCAGGTGATCCGGGGCAGCGACTATGCGTTTGTGATCGCGTTCAGCGACGGTGTGGGCGGCGTCATGTCCGACCAGGAGGTGGTGGATCTGTGCCGCGACGCCAAGCATCCGAGCCAGGCGTCCCAGAGCGTGCTCACGTTTGCCGAGGAGCTCGGAGCGCAGGACAACTGCACCGTCATGGTGGTGCCGCTCAAGGCGTGGGGCAAGGTGGGTGGCACCGACGGCACGCGCGAACGCCGCGAGATGCGCCGCTCCAAGATCGACCTGTTTAGAGACAATCGTCGGTAGTAGCAATGCCAGTCATTGCAGTGTGCGGAGGATGGAGAGAGTGAGGATCGGGCACTGCATCGGGTGTGCACCGCGCGTTGAGCAACGAGAGCGAGAAGTGCGGGACGCGTCCAATGATGGAAGCGGCGAGCGGCTCCAAGTGAGAGCCACGGCGCGCGTAAATGGATTGACAGCGCTTTGAGGCTCGCTCCAATCGCCAAAAATTGGGAAAAAGTGGAGCAACAAACCCAAACCGCGCACCTAACAGAGGTGCCAAGGCGCGTCTTTTGGCAGCAGCGTCTTTCTTCGTGAAATGACTGCCGCAACTGCCCTCTTGGCCTCGTCTCTCTGCTTCTTGCCTCGTCGCCACGCTCACGGCTAGTACTGAATGAGGATCACGCTTGAGCATCATGGTCGGCTGTACCGAGCCCAAGTTGAGTCGAAGAAGTGTGTGTGTGTCCGTGTCCACGTCGGCCTGCAAGAAGAGGAGGTGCGGGATGTGCGAAATTTGAATGGTGCCCAAACGGCCCCGATGGCTGCTCCTCGTCCACGCTGCTGCTGCCCAAACGCCAGACGGCCCCCTTTGGCCCCCTCGCCCCCCTCGCCCTGCCTGCCGCTCGCTCATCCTCGTCTCCACTCGGTCCGCTCTTCGTCGTCACGTCCCGCACACACAAAGCTCGTTTCCGCTCCTCATCGTCGGTTCGACATCATCCCCCACTTCCCTTCCACAATCATTCCTCTCCACCCTCATCCCCGACCGCCGCCCTCTCATCAGTCCTCGTGCACCTCAATCTGCGCCCTACGCCCACGCCTCCTACGCGTCGATACTGCGCAACCGCGCCGCCTTGCCCATAGCTCGCGTCGCATAATACAACGAGCGTCCTAGCTTCCACATCAACATCCCCCACCCTCACACGAGCGCCTTCCACACCCTCGCATGAATCTCGCTCCGGCCACAGTCCTGCTCTAACTCGCCCTCGTCGCCCGCTATGCCGCTCGTCAAGCGCAAGGTCGTCGAGCTCGTCCCGCCCCCCATCGCTTCGGGCTCCGACGACCCGGACGTCTTCTACCTCGCACAGACCGGCGAGCTCTTCCCCGATTTCGAGTCGTACTCCAACCGCCTCACCTTCTACAACCAAAAGATCTTCCAATGCGAGCTCACCGGTCGCATCAACCTCACCTACTTCGATGCGCTCAAGAGCGAACGCAAGGAGGCCATCGCACTCCACAAGATCTTCCCCGAACAGCTCAAGGCGCCCGTCCTCCGCGCCGTCCAGTTCCAGATCACGGGTCGCATCGACGAACTCGTCGACCTCGTCTACGACCGCTTCAAGCACCGCTTCTTCCCCGGAGAGACCGTCTACTTTGACCTCGACGGTGACAAGTACTATGCGCTCGTCTCCCACGTCAAGCCACCGCCTACGCCTGCTCCCGCGACAGCCAACGGCCACGATGCCCAAGCGCAGATCAAGCAGGAGCCCAACGGCCACGACACCCACTCGTCGCACTCCAGCCCGCGCTCGTCCCCATCCCCGTCGCCCGCACCCATCCACACCGTCGGCACCGACTTGGCGCTCGAGCTCGACGCCGCCAACCAGGCCGACGACCCGGCCAACTACGTCTACCACGTCGACCTCATCGACGACGAGGACCAGCCCACGGGCGGCACGCACATCACCTCGTCCGAAAAGCTCAGCCGCGACCGCCTCGCCTTCTCCAAGACCATCCTGCGCAAGTACCTGCGCGACTGCATCGTGCGCGCCGCCAACATCGGCGCAGAATGGCGCGTCAAGGACTGGCTCGCGCGCAAGTACGCCATCCCGCTCGAGCCCAGTGACGAGATCACGCAGAAGAACGAGGCGCTCAAGGACGCCAAGCTGTCCAAGCGCAAAAAGTACCTGCTCGTCGACGGCGACGACTCGGGCACCGACTCGAGCAAGAAGCTCAAGAAGCTCAGCGCCGCTGCCCAGCGCAAGGCGGATGCCGCCGAGCAGGCGGCGCTCGAAAAGGCAAAGGAGGACGAGCGGCTGCGCAGGAAGAACCTCAAGTATCCCATCGACGACCTCGAGCTCGACCCCATCACCAAACGCGAGCTCATGGTCAAGGTGCCCGGCGAGCTCGAGCGGCGCAAGCAACGCCCGGTGCCAGGTCGGGGCAGTTTGGCGCTGCCCGTGCCCGGCGAGCTGTTTGAGCTGTTCATCGTGAGCTACTACTTTCTCGTCTCGCACGGCAAGCCGTTATTGCTCTCGACGTTTACGCTCGACGACTACGAGCAGGCGCTGCAGCATCGGCTTTCTGACCCGCCCTGCACGCTGCTCAACGAGATCCACCGCACGCTCATCAACCTCGTCGTGCGCGATGGCGGTAACAGCCTCGTCTCGACCACCTCGGCGCTCGAAGCCACGCTGGACCTTCCCGCCTCGGCCCCCACGAGTGTGGACGGCGACGACGAAGACGATCACGCGCGCAGCGATGCCGCTTCGGACGTGGACGAGCTGGACGCATCGCCGAACGGTGCCGGCACCAACGGCGGGGCGGGCACGAGTGGCGAGGCGGCTGCGATCGCGTCGCTGCTCGAGGCGGCGCGCGAGCTGAGTGCCGGATGGGAGACGCTGGTGGTGCGTGCGGACCACCGGCGCGAGCGCTGGGAGAACTCGCTGGTGGGGCTCATCGCCGCGCGCGCCACGCCCGACACGCTGCCCAACATGATCGGCATCCTCTCGCACCTCACCGCCGTCGAGCATGCCGACGGCTACATCGACGGCGAGTGGGTCGCCGAGCTGTACGACTCGCCCGCACACCGATACCCGCTCCTCAGCCTCAGGGATAAGCTGCACATTCTGGATTTCCTCTGCTCCGAGGCCGTCATGACGCGCGCCGTCAAGACGTTCTACGACGAGTGCGAGGCGCAGGTCACCGAGCTGCGCAAGGACAAGATCGAGCTCAGCCGCGAGCGCAAGCGGCTCGCCGAGGCGCGCGACGAGTTTGAGGGCAAGCACAACAAGGACGATGCGGATGGCGAGGGCGAGGGCGATGCAGAAGCCGGAGAAGGCGAGGAGGCCGAGGAGGAAGAGGACGAGGAAGAGGAGGAGGAGGATGAGCTTGCGTCAGATTCGGAGCGATCCGCGCGCGAAGGCTCATCGCTCTCGGACGGGCGCGGGGGGCGGGGTGGTGGATCGCGGCAAGAGATCCTGCGACAAAAGGCGCTGGAGAAGCGCGCGCACGAGGCGGCACAGCGGGTGGAGCAGGCCAAAGCTCGCGAGCTGCACCGTGCCAAGCTGGCGGAGAACAAGATCCTCACCGCACAGCGACGACGGCTGGAAGAGGATGAGGCGCGGCTCGCGCGGCGCGACGAGCAGCTCGAGCGCGAGTTCCGCCGCTTGCTGCACGTGGCGCGCATGGTGCCGCTCGGCCGCGACCGGTTCGGCGACAAGTACTGGTGGTTCGACGGGCTCGGCTCGTGCTCCCTCGTCACGGCCTCGGACAAACCCACGTACCAAACAGGTCGACTCTTTATCCAAGCCGCCTCTACCGACGAAACAGCCCTTCTGCTTCCCGACACCGAGGTGAAGCGCGATGCATACGCGGAGCTCCTCCACCCCACTCTTACGGCTGAGCGATTGGAGGCGCGCAAAGAGGCAGAGTTGGGAGAAGGCGGAGTGTTGGCCCCGGGGGAATGGGCGGTGTATACCGAGCCCGAGAGGATCCAAGAGTTGCTGGCATGGTTGCGTCCCAAGGGCCACCGTGAACATGCGCTCAAGCAGCATCTGCTCAAGTTCCGAACGCATCTCGAGGGCGGCATGAAGAAACGCAATGCCGATCTGGGCGCGAATCTCAAGGACGCCTTCGATGCCGTGCGTCGCTCGGCGCGTGCGGCCAAGAGCGATACCAACGGGACAAGGCTCGCCTACATGAGCTGGAAAAACACCCTCGACAAGTCAAAGTAGACGTGCAATATTCAACTCCCCCCTTGAAAATGACATTGCGACTGAAGGCTAGTGTTCCTGGATGCATTCGAGTTTAGGCTGCTCGACGAGACTCTCCGCTGCTTGCTGGCGTTCCTCCTGCTGCTGTTGCTGTTGCTGTTGCTGTTGGGCTTCCTGCTCCCTCTTCTGTCTCTTTTTGATCTTGCGAAGTGCCTCCTCTTCAAGGGCGATGGTCAAGAGTCTCTGGACCTCGTCGCTCTTTTTGGTCCTATTCCCTCCCAGCCAGATCAAGAGTCCCGCCACTGCATTGCACGATAGCGAAAACGTGATGATCGTCGCAGTCACGCTGGTGGGCCTATTCTTGTAGTAGATGCCCCACGTCGTTCCGCCCAGCGAGGCCTGCAGGCACGAGTGGCAATCGAGCAGCACCACAATGGCGATCATGAGGTTGAGTTCAAAGGGCCGGTGGGTGACCGTCTCGCGGTAGCGGTAGAAGGTGTGCGACGCATGGAATTTGCGCTGCTGATACTCGAGATTCGCCTGCTGTTTGGGTGTGAGCACCACCACGTCTTCAAAGTCGCGTGGCAGTTCCGAGGCGATCGAGGGGTTGCGTTTGAGTTGGCCCAACGGCAAAATGCCGTCTTTGTTCGCATACCCGCCACCAGACTTGGCTCGCGCGGCTTTGTCGCCAGGATGCGAATCGTCGGCTTGATCATCGGCAGCTTGTGTGGAGTCGGAATCGTGCTGGTGACGGTGCAGGAAGCGGTGCTTGTTGCGACGTTTGGTCTTGAGCTTTTCCACCTCGCCAGCCTCGCTCCGGTGCGAAGGGACATTTTCGAGCCGCTCCCACGACTCGTCGCTCTCGTCGTGTCCACCTCTTGCGCTCCCCCCGCTACTCTCCGCATCTGCTGGCTGCACCTGCTCGGGCTCGGGCTTGCGCAGTCCAGACTTGACCAGCATGGTATTGGTCATCTGTGCCACGCCCAGCCTAGGCGCCGCCCTCGGCAGCTCGTTCTTATCCTTCAGCTTCGGCAGCTGCAACAGTCTCCTCCTCTTCCACGTCAAGTGATGGTAGTGCGCGATCTGCACCATCCTATACGTATCCACCGCCCTGAACGGCGCGAAGCCCAATCCGACCGCCGCGAACAACGCACAGAGGATCTGGTCGCAAATTTCGACCCAGTACCGCTGGCGCGCGGCATTGCCCACGTCGATCCACTTGAGCAGAAAGAGACAGATGGCTATGCCCCAGAACGTGATGCTGAACGCATACACGGTGATGATGAGCCCGTGCGGCGTGCGAACGTACCGCCCAAACCCACGCATGGCGCGCTTGAACCGCGCCTTCTTGGTGAGCAGCAGATGCACATGCTCGTCTAACTCGTTGCGCTCGTCCTCGTCCATCTCGGCCCACTCGCGGATATGCTTTCGTCGCTCCTGCTCCGTGCTGGGCGCGGCGCGCTTCTTGCGCCGCGGCACGAGCGACGCAAACGACGTTACGCGCCGCAAGCCGCTAAACCCACCCTCGTCGCGTGCGCTGCCGGCTACACCCATCTCGATATCCCCCGCCCCGCGAGTGTCCGATTCGGCTTCAGGGGAGGGAGTGGGCGGTGGGGCGCGCGCGGCGGTGGGGAGGCTGATGGTGGGGCGTCGATTGTACAGCTTGGGGATGGGCGGGAAGAAGATCGAGTTGCCCACGTTTTGGAGCGCGGTGACGGTGGCCACTTCGGGATCGACCACGTCGAGGTAGTCGACCACCTCGTCCTCGTGCATGTCGCTGCTGCTGCTGCCGGACGATTCGGGCGGGTAGCGGCTGTACTCGTCGGCACTCGCATGAAGCGCATGCTCCGCCTCGTCGCGTTCGGACCGACGACGGAGCAGCGTATCGTACAGCCGCCGCGAGGTTGCCATGAGTCCGTCGTCGGCAACCGTATTGCGCCGCGCGCGCCCCACGCCGCCCTGTTCTGCCGGTGGTGCTGCAGTGTCGGTGGCAGTGGGTCCCGAGTGCGGGATGTTGAGCTGGCTGCGACTGTGTTCCTCCTGCACGTCCGAGAGGTTTCGATGGTGTGGCGGCTGCTGTGGCTGCTGTGGATCGGAGGCCTCTGGTGCCTCGGGCTCGTCGGAGGCACTGCGACGCGGATCGGACGAGTGCGACGACGTGGTGGACTGCGACGCGACCTGCTCGCGCTTTCTGCGGCGCTCTTCCTTGCGCATCTTGTGGTGGCGCATCGCCAGACCCTCTACCGCGCCTGGTCTGCGGCTTGACGTCCTGGACGGTACGCGCGGCTGTGCGCCCTCGTCGCTCAGTCGGATGGGAGGATAGTCGGACGACGCGGTTAGTCGCGCTGGCGCACCAGAGTGCTCGCGCTCCTGCTCGTCGTGGATCGCGCGTCGAGCCGCACGCATCTCTTCGCGCAGCAGATCGTCGTCGTCTTCTTCCGCCTCGTGACGTCGCTCACTGGCGGGAGTGGTGCGGGTCTTGCGCTCGCCGGCGTCGGCAGCTGCACTCGATGCCGAACCGCGCCGCCAGCTCCGGGAGCCAAAGTAGTCGTCCACAGGTTGTGTTGGCTGCGAGGGTGTGCGCGTGCGTGGACGCTGTACGCCATCGCTGGTCTGAGGCCCCGCATACGCGTCAGCGGACGAGTGGCCTGTGGGTGTCGAGTCGACCTCGCCGCGCCTCACGCGGATCGACGACGGGATACGGTGCATCGGACGCATCGTAGTCGGCCGCAGCAAGCGTCGATCCCCCCCAAGTCAAAAGCAAGCTGAAGAGTAAAGGTGGGTGAGCTGCTACGCGCAAAATGCTGCGCCTCTCGCAGCAAAGATAAGGATGGTGGTTGTCCCGCCACAAAGGCCCAAAGGCTATCAAAGAGCAGGGTTGGCTCCTCGTCCCTGCATTCCCGCGAGCTGTTGGGCTTTGTGCTTGTTCGCCCAAAAAGAACAATTTGGGCTCGGGCGGATGCACCCGAAACGCTGGAACTTGGTTCTGGATTTTCCGCCTTTGAGTTTCGCCATTTCTCCACTCGGCCACGACGTCCGGAATCGGCATCCCGTCTGACCATCGTTCTTGGCGCCGACTAGCCCCCGCCTGACGATGCTCGTCCCCGCATCCCATCCACCCGCCCTGCCAAGTGCAGTAAGCGATGTCCTTGGGTTTGATCCCCTGCTAAGCTCTGAAGCGCAGCTGGACGTCCAAGTGCGCCGAGTAAACAGCGTGTTTCCCGCCAACGCGCCTTGGCTGCACATGCGGTCATCGGGCATATCAGCCCGCAGCCCACCAGCTCCGCGGTCATTCCCCTCCAACCTAACAGTCAGGTCCAAAAAATCCCATCCCCGCTCCCTCAACACAAAGTCACGACCCCAACAGCTCCCACACACACACGTCGCAATGCAGTGCAAAACGGAAGAGTATCATTCAAAGCGCTCGTTCGCTCGACCGTGCTACATGGACATACGACCCGAAGCCACACTGTCGAGCGAGGAGAAGAAGTGAAAAAAGGAGAGAAGCAGACAACAGTTCGAAAGGAGCTACACATCTATCTTTGCCTCGCGACGCCGCTGGTGCTCAGTTGAACGCAGCGAGCGTCGCCTTGCCGTCGACCTTGTCCATGGGCAGGCCCTCGACAAAGGCGGCCGTGCACTTGGCCATGGTCGGTGACGCGCGCGAGATGGGGTCGGTCTGGTAGAAGTTCTGGATGGGTCTCAACAGCGGTGCGCCCGACACCTTGCTCTTGGCCAGCTTGGCCAGCTCCTCCACCGCCAATGGCGCCGATGCCGTCGACGCCTCGGCCACCTCGTAGCGCACCAGCGTAGGCGACACCTCAAACATGCGGTCGCGCACGTCCAGAATGTCGTTGTACGGCAGCGTCGCGCCCACCACCTCGCTCAGCGCACGCACAATCTTCCAGTCCTCGCGCGCCGCGCCCGGTGGCGGCACCGCCGCACGCGTCATCTGCGTGCGGCCCTCGGTGTTGACGTACGTCGTCGCCTTCTCCGTGTACGCCGAACCGGGCAGGCACACGTCGGCAAACTGCGCGCCCACATCGCCGTGGTGGCCCTGGTACACCACAAACGCATCGCGCGGGATGCTCTCCGGCGCAATGTCGTCCGCGTTGAGCAAGTAGATGAACTTGGGCGTCACCTTGGAAGCCGCGGCCGAAGGCGTGAAGCCAATGTCGAGCGCACCCGTGCGCGACGCCTGGCGCTGCAGCACGTTGTAGCCGTTCCACTCGCCGTTGAGCAGCTTGCCCTTGTTCGCCTTGACCAGCTCAGCCAGGTTGCCCAGGATCGCCTTGCCGTCCGGGTGCTCCGCCACAGCGCTGCCCACCACAATCATGGGCTTCTTGGCCTCCTTGAACTTCTTGGCGAACGCGCCCTTGCCAGCCAGCAGGTCCTGCACCGCCTTGGCGTCGGCACCCACGTGGTCGTACTCGTAGGTCAGGTCCACCTTCTCGCCGATGAGGCCGACGTCGAGGCCACTGTGCAGGTACGCCTTGCGGATGCGCGTGTTGACGATGGCGGCCTCGTGGCGCGGGTTGGTGCCCACGAGCAGCAGCACGTCCGCCTCCTCGATGCCGGCGATGGTCGAGTTGAAGGTGTAGTTGGATCGCAGGTCGGCTCCGTGGATGGGAGCCTGGTCGCCGTTGGGCTGGTCCGTGGCGAGGTTGTCCGAGCCCAGCTTGTTGACCAGGTCCTTGAGCAGCACCATCGACTCGGCATCGGCGAGCGCGCCGGCCACCGCCTTGATCTCGTCGCCCTTGGCACCGGACGAGGCGAGGCCCTCGGCAATCGTGGCGAGCGCCTCGGGCCACGACGCCGGCACGAAGCGGTCGCCCTGCTTGATGAGCGGCGTGGTGAGACGCTGGTACTTGAGGCCATCGTTGGCGAAGCGCGTCTTGTCGTTGATCCACTCCTCGTTGACGTCGTCGTTGGTGCGCGGCAGGATGCGCATCACCTGCACGCCGCGCGAGTCGACGCGGATGTTGGATCCAACCGCATCCAGCACATCCACCGACTCGGTCTTCTTGAGCTCCCAGGGGCGCGCGTGGAAGGCGTACGGCTTGGACGTGAGCGCGCCGACGGGGCAGAGGTCGATGATGTTGCCCGACATCTCCGAGTTCATCGTCTTCTCAATGTAGGTGCCGATCTGCAGGTCGTTGCCACGGCCGGTGGTGCCCATGTCTTGGACACCGGCGACGTCGTTGGCGTAGCGGACGCAGCGCGTGCACTGGATGCATCGCGTCATGACCGTCTTGACGAGCGGGCCGAGGTTCTTGTCCTCGACCGCACGCTTGCCCTTGATCTCGTGGAAGCGCGATCGGTCCGAGCCGTAGCGCATCGACTGGTCCTGCAGATCACACTCTCCTCCCCAGTCGCAGATGGGGCAGTCCAGCGGGTGGTTGGCCAGCAGGAACTCCATCACACCCTCGCGCGCCTTGGCGACCAGCGGCGTGTCCGTGAAGATCTGCTGGCCGGGCATGGCGGGGAATGCGCACGATGCGAGCGGCTTCGGTGCTCCCTTCGACTCGACGAGGCACATACGACAGTTTCCGGCCACCATGAGTCGCTCGTGGTAACAAAATCGAGGAATCTGAGCGCCAGCCTTCTCGCAGGCCTGGATGAGGGCGGTGCCCTGCTCGACTTCGACCTCTTTACCGTTGATGGTGAGCTTGACCATCTTGGGAGGGGCGGGGGCGGGGGTGGCCTGAAGTCGCGAGGCGGAGGTGGCGAAGGTGGCGGTGGTGGCGGGGAGGCGAGCGGCGGCGTTGGCACCGCGCTGGGCGACGCGCGCGGCCGAGCTGGAGGCGGCGAGGGAGCGCAGCATGGTGGGCGGATGTCGATGGCGCTGCTACGGTGTGGTAGGCTGAAGCTGTGCGATCAGCGCGCTGATGTGGGCCGACGCAAGAGAATCGACGGCCGAATACGGAGAGGCGATGCGGTGCGGTGCTCGGGTGGAGAGTGGTGAGCGTCGCAGAGGATCCCAGAGTGCGCAAAAGAGGGGATGTCGGTGGCGAGCGCCGATGATGGATGGTGATGGGAAGGTCGGATTTGAGAAGGCGAGAGAGTTGGAAGCGCGCCAAACGAGACTGGCGATGGCCCGCGAGCGAGAGAGCCTTCTGCGGGCTGGCAGGCTGGCTGGCGGGCTGGCTGGCTGGGCCTGACTAAGTGAACCGAAAGGTGATCCGCGCCCAAGCCTGGCGCTTCGTTGCGCTGTCTCGCGCTGCGCTGCGCTGACTGGAGAGCCGGTTTGGAATTCCAGAGCGTGCGGGCAGCGGCGGCTGCCAAGTATTTTTCGCACCCGTCGCACACTGGCGCCCAGCCATCGCAACAGCGCGCCAGCGCCCAATCAGAAGCCCGACGTTTGGTGCGGCCTTTTCGGGTCCGGCGCGCTTTTTAATGGGTGAGACGCAACTTTCAGAAAACGTAACATTCTAATCATTCGAGCACATCCACCAAGCCCACCTGCTCCCAACGAAGCTTGCCTCAAGGCGTCACAGTCAATGGTCGTCAGCAGCGACAGCCACGCAGGCAACAGGACGAATCAGCCGACCAGCCGGCGGAACAAAGCCGCTGCCACCTCGATCAAGTATTGTGAAACGCAATGGTTTGCTTGTCTTGCGCAGGTTATACACGAGACTGTAGAACGACGCTGGCTGCTCTACAAGATGGTTCCGAGGCTGTGCGGACGTAGGAAGCGTCAAATAGAAAGAAAAGAAGGAGAGGTTTGGACGCGTCAGTGATGATGAGCACAGGAAAAGTGCCGAGACGCACAGTACTCACCCCATCGACTTGAGACCGCGGATGTAGTAGGTCTCGAGGTTCTTCTCGACGCTCTCCTCTTCGCCCGAGGGAGCTCCGCTGAGCACGAGCTCGAGCTTGGTCGAGTCACCGCCCTCGGTAAGGTTGAGCGCAAGCGTGCCGTAGTGGCCCTGCGGGAACTGGGGCGTGCGCCACTTCTGGATGAGCTGCTTGGGCGCATCCGCGCTGATCACCTTGCCCGTGATGTTGCCACCGAACAGCGCGAACTCGGTGTCCGCCTTGGCCTCGAACTGTGCGGGTGCGCGCGTCCACATGGGGATGCGTGAGGCGTTGGTGAGCAGGTCCCACAGATCCGAGATGCTCACTGCCAGCTCGCTCGACACGCGCACGTCGCTCGAGCTTGTTGACACGCTCGACTTGGCGGCGGCTGCGGGCGCAGCGGCAGGCGTGGCCGCGGATGTGGTGGAAGTGGCGGCAGGAGCAGCAGTGGTCGTGGTKGTGGTGGGAGTGGCAGCGCCCGAGGCCGATGGGCTGTCGTGGCCGAGGTCCTTGGCGTGTGCATCGATGAGGCTCTGGCGGAAAGCGTGGAAAGTGGGACGCAGCGAAGGAGCAAGCTGATTGCGCACGGCATCGTACAGCTCGTTGGCCGCCGCCGACGACTTGGTCGACATCTCGGTCTCGAAGCGGTACTCGTCGCCCTCGTCCTCCACCTCGTGGCTCATCTCGGGGAACGTGATGGTGCCGCTCGCCTCGGTGCCGTCGTCCGAAGAGCCCGACCAGGCGTACGTGATCGAGCAGTCGTAGATGGTGATGAGCTTGCCCTTGCGGTTGCCCAGCTCCACATCGCCCTCGAACGAAGAAAGTCGGTCCACCTTGACATGGCCGCTCTTGCCCACCGTCACCGTCTTGCCCACCGTCGCCTCGGTGATGTGGTTCTTGGCCCAAGGCGTGCAGCCCTTGGTCTTCCAGTGGTAGTGCTTGTTCCAAGTCGACATCGTTGCGCAGTCAAGCAGCCAGAGTGTGTGCGGGACCGAAGAGGGAGGCGATATGAATGGCAGATGGTGTTGCAAGAACGTGAAGCTGCACAGATCAGCCTTTTCGAGCGAGCTTTCATTCTCCAACCGCCGCCATGCATCAAAGCCCAAAGTGGAGTCGAACAAGGCTCACAGAGGCGCATCTCGACGTGCCTCTCAGAAATTGCCAGAAAGAAGCGCCCCGCCGTGATTTCTTCCAGCACATCGGGCCCGATCTACTCAGCACAGATGTGAACTCGGTCTAACAGCATTTTCGAATGGCCACCCTGGCATGGACCAGCAAGTCTCCCATCGGCTAGCCTTGGGGCAAACATCCAGCTGTCAAATTGATCCGGGGCGGGAGTGGAGAGGATGCGAAGAGGGCTCAGGGAGGGCGTGGAGCGGGTGCGGATCGGCTTCAGCCAGCCACGATGAATCATCGTCGCACCGCCATTGCGGAGTCACCGAGCTGACTAGTGGCGAGGCAGACACTCGAATCGGTTGCCGTGTCCGCTTTAGGATCTTGACCGCCTACGTCCGAATGGACGCGAAGCTGATGGTCGTAGCCAATCGAAGTGGCCGGCTTCGAAAGGGCAAGGAGAGCCAAGTCACCGAGATGTTGAAGGCCGCGCGAGGCTCAATTTCGGACCCACAGCGTGGCTGCAGAGTGACCCTCCCTCGGTCGAGAACGGTGTCCGATTGGTTGCCATAGGGAAGGGCTCTCGAGGGAAGGGCTCGAGGAAGCGCATCCAGACGTTAAAGTGCGACGGTCTCTTTGCCAGGCTGTGACTCCGAGTTGCTGGTCGAGGAGTGCGCTATGCGGGGCGCGCCCAACGGAGCTGGTCGGCGACGCGTGCTGACTATCGCATTCACACGGCCGTCGTCGCGCAGCCAAACTCGCACAACAGGAAGGTCTTTTCCGTGGCATCACGAACCTTCACTGCGATGACTTGGCCACGCCGACTCTGAGCGGCTCGCTTTGTTGTAAGCGAAGTCCCGGCTTCGATCCACGATGCGCGCGGGCTAAACCTTAAAGAGACTCCTCCTCGAGCTCTCTTCCTTCCGCACGCGCAAGATCGACCCTGGACCCTTGCCCTCCCCACAGCAACTGTAGGTGGCTTTCTTTGGCTTCGATCCCAAGATGCTTTCCATCGATTGGAGGGCTTGGCGGCTTCGACTGAGGTGCCTCACGAATTCAATCAAGTACGCACTCAAACTGCTGGGATTTCGGCATCGCCGCAGAAGGACCCACTCGACTGGCGTCGCCTAACATCGCTGCTAGGAAGAAGACGAGTCAAGGTCGGGACCTCACACGCCTCGCCACGGTGTAACGGGAGCCATAGACTTCCACTTCCACGTCTCGGACTTGAGCTTTAAAGCAAAGGGCCGTGCGCCACTCGTGACGCTTCCTTCCAGCCGGATCGAGCAACCGAGGTCCCGTTTGAGATGCGCTCTTCTTCCGACCGTCGGGGACGACCTGCCTCTGCTACCTCGCAGCCGGGTCCTTCTGTCTCACCTCGCGCTGTCAACAACGACATGCGCGCACGTGGGCAGCCCGCGTGACCGGGCCGACACGCCGCCAGCTGCGTTGGCCCCCGCTTCCGGTTACTCAACTTCCTCGCACTCAGCCGCAACACCACTGTGCGAAAAGGGAGCAAGACCGCAGTCTCTCCGCTCATATGCCTCGTCGCAACAGACGGTGCCTCTGCGATCGAGTCCGTGTCTGTCTAAGTGCGAGGGCGTCTTCTACCGAGTCAGCACTCCGCTCCCACTGTCGTCGAATCGTCGAGAGCGTTCTAGCACAGCGGCATCACACGAGACGCGGCAGACAGGCTCTCATTCGGGCTGAGCAAACCTTGATAGCTCGACCCGCTGACTGCCGAAGAAGTTGTGCACTCGTCTCTGCTACGATGCGTGCCGCCAGCTCGTTTGCCACTCATGCTGGGCTGGGCGTCTACAGTATATCGGGGGGGGGGGGGGGGGGGGGACCAGGCAAGGTCGGCGTTCCTCACGACCTGATTCAAGCTCTGCGAAGAGAATTCCCAGCCCCCGAGGTAGGGCCAACGGAGATTTTGGATCGCGCACGCACACACCTTCAGAGAAGCACCAGAGGCATTCTTCGTCTGCACTCAAGATGGACGAGAACAATCCGAGCGCTCCTGCACGCTACGTGGCACAACCTCCCGCCATGCAGACCCAAGGCAGAGGACGTGAGGACCCCACCGTCATTCAAGCGAACGACGTCCCATCCTTCAACGTTTCAGCAACATTACCGCCTCAACACTCGCAGACATCAGGTCTTGTCGGAGTAGGCCTGCAGCAAGCACCCAGCCCTAGCGTCGATACTCATCAACAGAATGACAGCGCAGCTGAGCCCGTCTCGTGGGAGCAACGACCGCTGATCGGAGTACTGCCGGCCTCGGAGCCATGGGAGCAGCCTTCGACCAACAACCTTCCATCGCCCACGGCCAACGCCCGGGCCAGTCGTCTATTTCGAGAGAGGCGAAAGGAGAGGGAGAGGGTGTTGCGAGAGACAGTGGCAGAGCTCGCCGACCGCAATGCAGCTCTGGAAGCTTTGCTCCTCTATCACGGTATCGTTCCGCCGGGCCATGCAACTTTGCGACACGATCTCAGTATTCATAGGTCGCAGAGAAGGGGTGGTCCACCCATTCATATTCCAGGCGTGACGACAAGCTTTCCGACAGGACGGCAGAGCTCGCCCGCAACGCAGCAGACTGGAAGAGCCGACTCAGCTTCTGGCTCGGGATCCAGAGATCACGATTCCTCCTCGGTCTGCTCCACAGACTCCAGCGCATGCTTCCGCAGGATAGCGCCGGATCTGCGCACCGCTCAACAGACGCCCTGCGAGCCGATGCTGCAGGCGTCCGGGATGGTGGTGCCCGATCCCACTGCAGTAAGTACTTCTGGCATCCTCGACTTGAATCATTTGCAGTTTAGCTTTGATGGTGGAAAGCTGACGCATCGCCTTGATCAAAGACTGTCGGCATACAGCAGATGTTGCCGGGCGGACACAGCCATTCGCACGGAATGCAGTACCCAAACACAGGCATCGGACAGCACCAGCAGCGAGCTAATGATCTCGCGACCCGCGACTCGAGTGATCTCGCCAATCTCGCGGCTTTAAATCGCCTGTCAGCACCTGGCACGATTGCCACTACCTCGGATGCTAATGCTGCTGGTGGTGCATCGACAGCAGCAGTCGAAGCAGCATCGGCGGCTGCACTGGTTACCCAACGGCAGCGCAGACAGGCTGCTGCGGATGCCTTCGACGCGCCGACACGGCGACCTATGGGCAGGGCCCACCTGCGGGCTCGATCTCCCTCTGAATCGATCCTATCAGATCGGCGCGTACCCTCGGCGTTACCGGAGCCAATGCCGACAGGGACCGCCGGGCTCTTTCCATATCAGTTGCCATTTGGATTCGGACGGCAGGGTATGGGGGTTTCAGCCCCCGGTGCCGGTGTCGCGGTTCCGTCTGCCGGCTCGAACCAGTTGTCGGTGCTAGGGACATGGCTGCCACACTCCAACGAGGAGGTGGCGGGTCACAGCAACCGGCTTCTGCCTTTGGAAACAGCGAGAGCCATCACACAGTCGCCAACGCCGCTGGCTGTGCCGATCGCGGTGCAAACCGGACTAGGCTCGCCGACAGCTCCCTCCACTGCGCGGCAGTCTATGTCGCTGCCTAGTCGACTACCCGTATCGACGGTTGGAGGTTCGAATTGGCCGTCTGCTTCGACAGTGCATGGCTTTGGAGGTGCATTCCCGTCCGCCAGTTGGACACCTGGATCTGCGCAGTATCCTTGGCTTGGGCAGCAGGGTTCGTTCGCGCAGGCACTCGCTCTTATGCCAATGTCGGATTCTAGTCAAGGCAGCGGAAGCTCAGCGAGTCAATCCAGCACACGCGAGTCGCGCATGTCGGCAGGTGAAAGCATCCCAGAAGAGGCAGGAGCCGATCGCAGGTGGACTTCGGTCCCCATGATCTCGGACGATGCTTCGATGCCTCCCGCTCGACAAGGACAGCCGCGGTCGACGCTGTCCAGTCCGTCACGGTAGGCAGACTTGGCGGAGACGAGCGGTGACTCACCTTGTCTGCAGCGTAGCCCGCAGGAGCCCCGATCGTCTCCATCCACAACATCGAAAGGCGGACTGCCTTAGCTCAGGATCGAACGTCCGTCGAGCTTGTTTCCACTCTTGGCCTGTCCACGCACACCCACTTCAAACCTACTTCTGCGGGTCCCAGCCGAGTGAAGATGGCCAAAGTCTCGCAACCGGAAATCAAGCGCTTCCTAGACGAGCGCATCGCCGTCAAGATCCAGGGCGGCCGCAAGGTGCCGGAGCTCAAGTGTCCGGTTCCCGGCGCGCAAGTCGTCGGACTTGCTGAGGATCTTTGGTCTAAGTCGCAGATCCACATCGCGGCGCAGATGCTGCTCGACCACGATCCCTTCGAGGCCAGATTGGGTGTGCACGAGTCGAGCAAGCCTCCTAGCCAGCAGTGTCGAGCATCGAACAGGTGCCGCGCTGTGGCCGTGAGCGGATTTAGCGGACACGATCAGTGGCTCAACTTTCCTGCCTCGTGGTCAGCAGACGCGCGGATGAAACTTCCAGCTAACAGCGTCCGTCGGCATCGGACTGATGCAGCCCAGCAACCTTTGCGGTCCATCCCAGCGGTCAGGCTCGGCGGAGACAAGCAGTGGCTCAGCTTTCGTGCAGCGTGGTCAGAAGTAGCACAGATGAAGCTCTTAGCAATCAGTGTCGGGCATCACATTTGTGCCGCGCTGCGACCTTCTCAGCCCATCCCAGCAGGCAGACCTGGCGGAGACAAGCAGTGTATGTGCTTTTCGGCAGCGTGGTCAGCAGAAGCACGGACTTAACTCCGTGCCAGCCATAAGGGTCACCGCCAGATTCATGCCGCATCGCAACGTGCCCTTGTCGCTGCGCTCGGTTTCCTCACTTGCGTTTGAATGCGCGATGTTCTCACTCCGTTGGTGGTTTGAGCAACTGCATTGCTTGGGCGAGGTGCTGTGTGGTGCTGCACTCGGCCAGGGCTTTCCGGTGAGCAGCAGTGAGCTCGTCCACAGCCTTGTCGTGTGGGTCTGCTTGCGCTGGTCATTCGCTTGCGTGTGCTTGTCCTTGATCCAAGACAGCTTGCCGGCTCGTTGCAGAGTAGCTCGAGCACGGTGCGGTGCTCTTCGCAGCGCTGGGGTGAAGGAGAGAGCCACGTGATCGCCCAAGTCTGGGGGGGTCTCGTTTTGAGTGAATGGAAGCCTTGAGATCCCTTCTCCATCGCATCACTGGCGTTGTTCGGTTGAGCGTGTTCCCGCAGACTGGGTGGTGGAGCACTTCCTTTCGATGCACCCATGGCCTCCAGGCTTACCCGCTGTCGCTTGCAACAAAGGACCCAGCTGTTGGCGCCGCGACTTGGCTCGATGGAACAAGACAGACAAGCCTTTGCCTCTCCGCTTCCTGGTGACTTGACTTGACTTGAAGAGCAGCTTAGTCTTCAATCCCTTTCTTCTTGATGGCGACTTTTTCGCCCCTTGTCGCTGCGCTCCGAGTACTGACCTGCGATTCTTTCAGTCCGTTGCTGGTTGAAAGAATGCATTGCTTGAATTGGGCGGGTATCGTTTGAGCGAGTGGGTGGCTTGGGATCACGTCTTCTTGGCATCACCATCAGCTTTGTCTGCCTTACCCGAGCCTGTCCCCGCTACCTGGGTGGATTTCTTCCTCTTGATACCCAACATCGCGGCCGAGTCGTTTTTGCGCTTCTTCTTGACCGGCGCTCTATCGCTCTTTGCCGCCGCTTCTGGACTTTTCTTCTCCTTATCGTCTGCGTTGCCTACGGGTGGTGGAAGAGGAGTTTTCGCCTGCGCGTTCCTAAACGCTTCAAGCTCCTGCGTCTCTCTCTGTCGCTTCTCCCTCTCCTCCTGCGCCTTTTCGTGCTTGATGTGCGCTAGAAAGTCGGATTCGCCCTCGTCAATGCCGCGAAACTGGTTGGAGAGCTTGTACATCTCGTCGTACTTGGCATCTTTGGCCTCCTTCTGCGATTGAAGCTTCTCGAACAGGCTCCGTGGATCGTACTCCGAATCAGCACCAGCGGCGGATGAAGAGCTGGAACTCTCCGATACAAACCGCGACCCAACACCAACCATCTTGCGCGGTAAAAGTAAAGTTATGCTGGTGGTTGAAAGCAACACTTCTTTCCCTCCACAAGCTTCGCATTTTTTGTGGAGGTTTTCAGATTCCGATTCCCGATCCACAACCTCCCTCGACATCTCTCTCGCAGAACAGACAGACAAGGCGTTCAGAAAACTTGGGACTTTGCAGGGATGTGTGGGGGGAAGGGGGAGGATGAAGCGTTACAAAACACAATGACATGCATGGATTGAGGGGGAAAGGGGGGGGAGAGACACAAAGCCGTGGGGTACCACCACGCACGACTTTGGTCCGGTTACAGGGTGTATAAAACGCAAGGTCGAAACCTTAGACATTACAAGACATCGGCGGCACACACGCACACTGCGGGGCGGGGCGAGCATCTCTCTACCCTACCTGTGCGACCAAAACTTACCGTTTAAAGATGTGATGAGCCTCAAGGACGGCCCATCAGGTATCAAGACACAAACGCCGCACGAGGCGCCTACTGCTGCATGCCGTTCTGTGCCGGCGCAAAGTTGAATCCGCCCTGCGGGGCGTTGAGGTCGGACTGGAAGGCAAATGCACCGGACTCGTCGACCTGCGGAGCGCCCAGACCGGTGTCGGCCGCCTCGTCGTCGGGGAAGTACTTGTCCATAATGTAGAAGCACTTTTTGTAGATGTCGAGGTTCTCGTGGTGCTGGAGGTTGTGGATGGACACCATGCCGCCGCACTCCTCGATGTGGAGCGCGTAGGCGTTGGGACCATCGCCACCGGCCGCCTCGCGGTCCATCTCGCCCACCTTGAGGATGTTCTCGAGGCCGTCGAGCGCGACCTGGATGATCTTGTTGTCCATGCTGGTGAGGAGGTCGCAGAGCGGCTTGATGCATCCCTGGGAGACGAGGTAGCGGATCTGCTGGGGCTCCGAGAGGCCGCCGCTGGTGGCGTTGCTGATGGCCCAGCACGCCTCCTTCTTGGTCTTGAAGTCGGCGTGCTGGAGGATGTCGATGAGGGGCGGGATGATGTTGGCGTCGATGACGGCCTGGATCTGCTGGGAGGAGCCGGCGGTGACGTTGGAGATGGTCCAGCAGGCCTCCTTGCGGATGCCCTCCTTGGGCGACGAGAGGAGCGAGAGCAAGGGGGGCAGCGCGCCGGACGAGATGACCACCTGGGTCTGGTAGTCGTCGCCGGTGACGATGTTGCCGACGGAGCGGAGGGCGGGGGTCTGTACGGCGGTGGAGGGGTGGGTGAGGAGGTCTACGAGGCGACGGCAGACGCCCGACTCGATGACGCCCTGGATCTTTTCGTTGGCGCCGTCGGAGAGGTAGGAGATGGCCCAGCAGGCGTCGATGAGCACCTCGTCGTCCATCGAGTAGATGAGCTTGGTGAGCACGCTGAGCGCGGGCGAGACCATGGCCCAGTCGGGCTGCGGGTTCTTGCCGCGGCAAAAGTTGCTGAGCGTCCAGGTGGCGTTGCGGAGCATGCTCTGCTTGTGGTTTTCGGAGAGAAGGGCGATGAGGGGACGCATGGCGCCTGCCTGGAGGACATAGTCGCGGCACTTGGGGCTGTCGCCTGCGATGTTGCCGAGCGCCCAGACGGCCTGCTCGCGGACGTCGAGCACGGGGGAGGAGAGGAGCTCGATGAAGACGGGGACGGCGCCCTCGGTGATGACGACCTGGGTGTGGTCGGAGGTGCCGGAGGCGATGTTGGTGAGCGCCCAAGCGGCCTCGAACTGGATCATGGAGTGCGGGCTGCGGAGGAACTCGACGAAGCGGGGGACGACGCCGGCGGCGATGACGCGCTCGATGGGCGGGTTCTTCTCCTTGGAGAGGAGCTTGCGGAACTTGGTGGTTGCGTCGAGCTGACGGTCGAGGTTGTCGCTCATGGCGTCGTCGATCATCCTGGGAAGCTCGTCGGCGAGCTGTGCGTCGATGGCGGCGGACTGGGCGTCGTCGTCGTCCGAGTCGGCGCCGTCGGTGTCGTCGCCGATGTTGAGGTTCCTGCGCTTCGCCATGGACTCTTCGCGCTTCTGGCGACGGATCTCGACCTGCGCCTCTTCACGCCTGCGACGCAGCTCATCCTGCTTGAAGACGCCCTTTGCCTTGTAGTTGTCTTGTCGACGCGACATATCGCGAAGGCCGGACATTGTGAGAGATGGTAGCGGATCGAGGCGGTGTTGGAGGTGTTGCGGTGTGAGTTGCGTATGTTTCCGAGCCGGAGAGAAGGAGGAGATGGCGATGAGGGTGGGATGGAGGGGAAGTGGTGATGAAAAGGAGAGATAGGATGTGGAGCGTGTGCGAGAGGAAAGCGGCGGACGAGAAGAGCAGCACAGCATGGCACAGCACACTGCGGAGAGGCGACTGAGTGAGTGGCTCTGTCTGGTCTTCCGCGCGCGCGCTTTTGCTCTGCTTTGGCTGGGCGGCTCTGGGTGTCAATCTGGAGGAAATTGCGAAAAAAACCTCGAGACCAACACCTACCAAAAGCTGAGCAGCAGCACACGGCGGTGGTGCGTGCAACACCCGCACTGCACTCACGCACGCCCATCCGCCAGGTCCAGCCCAGCCCAGCGCAGTGCACTGCAGATGCCGCTCTGACATTTTCTTTTTAATTTCTTTTTGCGGACAAAGCGCTTGGCTGCCGCCTGCTGATCGGACGATCGAACCTGGAGCACGAAAAGCGTGCCGTCATTTTGTGAGACCTGCATCGTCACTGCTGAGCCATCTCGCGCGGAAAAGAGCTGTCAAGGCCACGGCCGAATTTCAGAATGTGTTGTACCTCGGTCTGACATTGCTTGCGTCTCGCGGCACCTCGCGGGCGCTGTCCGGAGCAGCAGCGAAGGGCGCACAACGGAGCATGACCGCGGCCGCTGTACTCGCACTCCTCGTATGATGGTCACGTAAGGCTGCAGACGCGCCATCATGGCGGCGTGGATTGCGATGTGCTCTTGCCATCGTCGTCGTTCGCCGTGGCATCCGTGACCACATTGGGAGCAAAGCGCACACAAGTGTTGTATGCTGCATTGCAAAGAAAGCTCCGCGGGCCACGCGCCCAAAATCCGATCCGAGGCGCGAGTTGAGGTGAGTCAAAAAGGCCGGCCTGGCGAATCACATTTGAGAGAGGATCGTGTGAGAGCGGCGGTGAGTGTGAGTGAGACCGGCTCGGTGCACCGCTGTGGAGAAGTTCGGCTTGCTTCCACTCCGGTACTTAGCCCCGCCCAATATCCGACCTGCCAATCCCAACCCTCACCCCCATCAATCCTCCTTCGTACGCGAATAACCACCACCTTGGCTGCGTCTCGCACCATCCCCAGCTTGGCATCGGAATGCACGCAGTGGCCACTGCATCACGCCCGGATATCATGTCGGCCGCAAACGCTCACTCCTCCGTCACCCAGGGCGATCTCGAGCTGCTGGACGCCCTCACCGCCATGCCCTCGTCCTTCCCGCACCACGCACAATTCGCTCCCTCCGCCTCGGCGTCCAGGCCGCTCTCGACACTCAACGCTCTTCGACGGCCTCCCATCGACCCCATGGTCCTCGCTGCCAGTCTGAGCTCCGGCCCCCACGTCACGCGCCACCACTTCCACCACTCGTTTGGCAATCATGACCCCGCTACTAAAAGCCAGCAGATGCCTGCCAGCCAGCGCAAGGCCGCCGCCGCCGCTGCCGCTGCTGCTGCTGCTGCTGCTTCTCAGCAGTCTGCATCGCCCCGCCCCTCCAAGCCTCGCTCAAGGAGACCGTCTGCCGCCGGCGGCTCGTACGCCAACTGCGACTTTGACGACTTTGAAGACGCCACTCCCAGCACCAGCAAGGCTTCCTCATCCGCCGTCAAGATCGACCCGGTCCCAGAAGTGACCGACGAGGAGCGCGCCTTCTACGCCAGCAGACAGGCGCCTCGCAGCGTACGCCTGCAAAAGCAGAAGGAGATCGAGCAGCAGCGCGCCGCTGCTGCCAAGGATCAGGCTGTGGCCAACGCCGTCGGCATCCGAGCCAGCGAAGAGCCGGCGCGCCCCGACCTGCTCGCACAGCCAGGCAATCAGGCAGCCCAGTCGCACCTGGTCGCGCCTCCGGCGGCCGCTGCCAACATTGCGCAGGCGCTCGACGAGCGTAAAGCTGCTGTGGCCGCGGCTGCGCCGCAGACCATGCCACTCACACCGTCCATCGAGGGCATGCCCGGTACGCCTGCGCAGGTGAGCATGCCCGTTGCCAAGGCGGGCATCTCGTCGATCGTGCGCCCGCCGCCCGTGCGCGTGCGCTGCTACGCGCGCACGCGCATCCCCACGCCGCACGGCGAGATCTTCTGCCACCTGTACAAGAACACGCACGACACCAAGGAGCATCTGGCGCTCGTCATCGACCCGTACCAGAACGACGAGGCCAGCACGCAGATGGGCGCCGACGGTCGGCCCGTCAAGGAGTCCGATCCGGTGTACCAGCAGCATGCGCTGCGCAGCAGGTCGCTCGACGAGGTGTGGGGCTCGGCAGAGACGGACATGGAACGCATCGTTCGCGGCGCCTACGTTGGGCGACTTGGACCGAGCTTTCAGGTAGCTTCGCGACCGTTGGATCGCCATGCGCAGGCTGGGCATTCGCACGCGCACTCGCATTCGGGGCACGACGATGCGTTGTCCCCGCTGGTGCGCATTCACTCCGAGTGCTTCACCGGCGAGACGATCGGCAGTCAGCGATGCGACTGTGGCGAGCAGCTCGACGAAGCCATCCGCCTCATCTCCGAGGCGTACGATACGTCCAAGACCACAGCGCAGCGGGCGGATCAGCCACCACGAAAGCTCGGTCGCGGCGTCATTGTCTACCTCCGCCAAGAGGGACGTGGGATCGGGCTCTTAGATAAGCTCATGGCGTATAACCTGCAGGACATGGGTCACGACACGGTCTCGGCCAACATCTTGTTGGGACATTTGCCGGATGCACGCAAGTACGATATTGCCTCGGCGATCCTGCGCGACTTGGGGGTGGACGAGTGTCGACTGCTCACCAACAACCCCGAGAAGATGGAGGCTCTCGAGGCCGAGGGGGTGCGGGTGACGGAGAGGGTGGGGATGGTACCGCGCGTGTGGAAGTTTGGAAAGTCGCTGCGTAGGCGTAAGCATAAGCGCAGTGGACGTAAGCCGCACGAGCGCGTGGCTAGCGGTACCAGCTCGCGTGGATCTCCCCTTCGAAGTGGATCGGCGGTCAACGTCAAGAAGGCCTCGTCGTTGTTGCGACAGATGAGCCTTTCTGGAATGGAGGGTAGCGTGATCTCGCAGGCGGGTACGGGCACCGAATCGGATTCCGAACTCGACATCGTCACCGCTGGATTGCGCCATCAGGGAGAAGACATGCTCAACGAGGAGGATCGCTTCGACACCGATGACGATGATAGCGGTAGCGATTCGGGCGATTCGTACATCGACCATGTCCTGCGCCGATCAGGAACAACAATGGTCGGCGCTTCCATCACCAAGGGCCCCGAACTCGAAAAGTACCTCCGCACAAAGGTCGAGAGAATGGGCCATCTCCTCACCCTCCCCCCCGACCAACCCAAACCAACCCCAGACGCTGATGCAGAGGCAGAGGCMGATGCAGATGCAGATGCCGGTGCAGACGACCACCCCGTCTCCCAACCAAATTCCGAAGACGAAGCCGATCACCTCATCCCAGCCTAGAAAGAACCCCTCATCCTCCTAACTCTGTCTCTTCGGAATTCCACACCTCCCCCTTCCTCTACAACCACAGCCGCCCCCAAGTCAAGACTTGACGATTGCAACTGCCCCCGCCACCATTGGCTGTGTGTGGAGTACGACACTTGCCATTTCGACGAGTGTGTGTGTGTGAAGAGCATAAAAAACCTGGAAAGGGGACCGGTGACATCTGATGTGTTGATTTTAGAACGACTGCTGCGTGACTCTGGCGGGCGGACTCTGATGCTGAAGCAGCGATCTGCGCTTATTCTTGGCCATCTCCTTTTTGAGCGCCGCGCCATCGAGCGGCTTGAGCAGCTCAAACGCACACAGCAGATCCTCGCTCACCGACATGACCGCGCCAAAGTTGTCAAACTCGCCGCAGTAGTTGGGCGCGCTGAAAATGGTGACGAGCGTGCGCTCGTTCCAGAACTCGTAGCCGTCCTCGACCACCATGTGCGCACGGCAGATGAGGTCGAAGTCGTACTGCGCCAGGAACTGCTGGATCACCGCCTTGCCAAAGCAGTACGACACTCCGCGCTCGTTGTCCTCCCAATCCAACGCCGTGTCCGACGGATCCGACCACAGCAAATCGTTGAGCAAACCGTAGTCCGGCACATCCGTAGGCCGCTCGATGCGTCGAATGTCGTCCATGTTGGACAGCGACGGCGACAGCCCACCGTGCACACAGAAGATCTTGGACGCCACCACCGCCGCAATGGGCAGCGTGTTGAACACGTCGATAAACGTCTTCCAGATCTTGATGTTGACGCGGCGCTTGCACTCGTCGTAGAAGCCGTAGACGCGCGTCACGTTCGCACACTCGTGGTTGCCGCGCAGCAGGAAAAAGTTCTCGGGATACTTGATCTTGTAGCACAGCAGCAGCAGGATCGTCTCAAGCGACTGCTTGCCGCGGTCCACGTAGTCGCCCAGGAAGAGGTAATTGGCCGATGGCGGGAACCCGCACATCTCAAACAGACGCAGCAGGTCGTGGTACTGGCCGTGCGTGTCGCCCACAATCTTGACGGGCGGGCTGAGCTCGATCAGCGTGGGTTGCGACAGGAAGATCTCGCGCGCCGCCTGGCACACGGCGGTGATCTCGGCGTTCTTGAGCGCCGGCTTGGGGATCTTGCCCGAGTAGCCCGCCTCGAGCAGACGCGAGATCATGTCGTCAATGTCGAAAGTGCGCACCTGGTCGCCGGCGCCTGCGGATTGCGAGCCTTTGCCGACGGAGCCGGGGAAGCCGCCGGCGGCGAGTGGATTGGAGAGGATGGTGGCCGAGGTGGCCGAGGCGGGCGCCGCGCCGTCGATGCCGGCAGCCGAGCTGGCGTCGGCGTCGCTGCGACCTGCGGCTGATCTGGACACGGCGGGGCTGCCGACCTCGCTGGCTTCTTCGGTACCGTCGAGCACGTTGCGCGCCGAGGGCGAGGGCGAGGGCAATGGCGACTCGTGCCGGCTCACGCCGCCGCGCTTTTCGATCTTGGCGGGCGCCGAAGGGCCGTTACCCGCGCCGTTTTCGGGCGCGAGCGAGTCCTTACTCTTGGCGCGTAGGAGGTTAGACGAGTCGGAGCCGGAAAGACCGTTGGAGCCTTCGGCGGCGTCGTCGCCCTCTTGAAGTTTGGACTTGCCCTTGCGGGACGAGCCGCCCATGATCTTGCCGAAGGACTTGAACATGGTGAATGCGGTGACAGCGGTGCAGCTGACGAAGTGTTAGATGGCTAGGACGAGCGGGGAAGTGGTTCGTCTAAGCTGGAGACGTTGGCCAGGCGGGAAGCAGCAAGCTGAACGCTGCTTTGTTGTGGGCAGAGGCGGGAGACGAAGCTCGAGGCGGCGTGTTTTGTGCTGAGCAGAGATGCAGCACACAGCGTTGGAGTGAAGGCTGTATGCGACTTGGAGGGCGATCGCGTCTATACACCGTCTAGACAAAGACAGACGAGGAAAGTGGATGCTGGCGACGGGTTTGTCGTATTGGGATGGAAGACAAGGCTGAGACGCGAGCGAGCGGGCGGGCGGGCGCGAAACGGCGGCGTCACTTGCAGACGGATGTGCGGGCGCGCTGCAGGCACTGACTGGCGTGGTGAGCCGAAGACTCGCGGAAGGCAGGCGAGCGTCGAAGCGGCGAAATGCAGGTCGAAAGACGCCAAGCGTGTGGGAGTGCGCGGGCCAACGGCGAACGGAGAATGGAGGAAGGACGCGGATTGGAGGTGGTGGTGGCGACAAGGTTTGGCTCCGCTGCTTAGAGGAGGAAGAGGAGGAGGAAGAGGGGAGAGAGAGCGAGATGCCAAGATGGGAGAAGGTTTTCGCAAACAAGGTTGGAGATTGGGATGCAGGTGGGATGAGAGCGCTGGATGAGGCGACGGATGGTGTCGGCCGGCCATTGACGTGGATTGAGCGCGGCAACAACCGTCGCCTCTGTGCGGGCAACGCACACACACACACACACACACACACACACACACACTCGCTCTCTCTGGGGCTGGCTGGCTGGCTGGCTGGCTGGCTGGCTGGCTGGCTGGCTGGCTCAAGCACTTGGACTGCGGGCCGACTCAGCAATGCGGGCGGGCGCTCATGCAAGTCGAGTCGAGTCGAGTCGCGAAAGGGGAAGGTCGTGCGCGGCGCGGCAGGGCAGGCAAGGCAGGGCAGGGCGCGAGGGAAAAAAGAGCAGCAGCCACGCCCTGCTGCAGAGCCACACAGCGGCACCTCCGAGGAGGTCAGGCGAGGTGAGGCAGCAGAGCGCGTTGTGACGCATGGACACCTCTTTTTCGCGAAAAGCCAAGCCAAGACTCCCCGTCCTGGAACCTGCTGGCACGCCAAATTACTCCACCTCAGGCCCTGTTCGCTTCCGCTCTGGCTTGGCCTTTTAGCAGCTGCGCCTGCTCCCTATTTTTCCAACACTCTGCCGTCCAAGCGCTGCGCCGCCGCCTCTCCCCCCCCCCCCTTTTTTTCATTCTGCCCTGAAGGAGGGGCCTTTTTTAGGCTCACGCATCCGGCTGCCTTCTGCACTTGGCCAGTCGCACTCCCAAACTGTCATCAGAGCTCGGCTGTTGAACCCCAATCCGCAACCCCAGACTGCGCAGACGACCCGGTTCGGATCCCCAGCGCCGTCGTCTAGCAGTGTCAAGCTTTCGGGCACGGTCCGCTCTTCAATCTCATGCAGAAGGCTAGCCATGTTGGTGGTGGTGATGGCGGTGGACGTGCATATGCGTGTGACGCACTGTATCACGGGTCGCGGCGTCGGAACACGCCGTTTGACAGGCACAGCCCGGGATCCACACGCCCAGTCGCCTGCGTCATGTCGCTGCAAGGCTCGCCGGGGCCAACAGTGTGACTGAGTGTGTGCTTCTTTTGCTGACCGCTGGCTGGCGCACTTCGACCGTCAAGCGCCGATTCGATCGAAACCCCATAGCTAAAATTTCGTTTGAGGGCTGCCTTTCGCACCGCACCGGCTTCTTGTCGGCACCGCCGGCTCACATGCTCGCTTGACCATAGCCTTCAGGTCTGAGAAGGCTTCCCGGCCGACCTGCGACTCTGCTCGTGAGCAAAAGCATCTGCGTCTTGCTTCCAGAGCAATGCCGAGTGGCCCCCGCGTTCTAGGAACAGCGCATTCTCGGTTGAACTCCATTTTCGCTCCGTGCAGCATGTCAGCTGTCGTCCGCCGTAACAAGGGGCGAAATAGTTGCCGCCTCCACTGCGTTCACCCGGCGCTTTGCTCAGCTCCGTCGTCGCAACATCCACATCGTATCCATCACAGCCAGGCAGACAGCACGATGGGCACCAACACTTCGTCGCCTGCATCCTACGTCGACCAGGACACCAGCATGTCCGGCCTCGCAAGGATGGGTGGTGCGCAGCCACGCACCAAAACTCCAAAAGCTGCGCCATCTCCGCCCGCTCAGTCCAACATCACATCGGATCGAACCCAAGCAGACCGACCCAGCGTCGACACGTTACCGCCATACCAAGCTGCGCACACTCAACACCGTCCTTGACCCTATCCTCACTTTGCTATTCACGCCTCCATGAACGGATCCATACACTGCCGCTGCTGATCGCCAGCGTTCGTGCAACATCTTGTGCTGTCAGCCTACCGCATTCGATGTAGTATGGTATGCTAGAAAGTTGCATTTTTGGATGGATGGAGATGGGGTGCCAGGAGGGAATGCCCGAAAGGGTCCCGTGATCGTAAAGTACACTTGGCAATGGTGAGCACCGCCGCACCGACAGCATGCCGAGCAGCTCGGTTACAAGACTGTCGATGCGTGCAGCGCGCGCTCGTTCACATATGAAAGGCGGACGTTGCCACGCGAGCAAAAGGTCGTCCGCACCTGCATGTGCAAACTCGCTTAGGCCGAGACGGTCGAGAGGAGGTCCGAGTCACCAGCGTCGAGGATGGTCATGACACTATAGTACGCAAAGGAGCGATTGCGGTCTCAAGTCAGTATACGATCGTCGTGGAACATGCTGGCATGCCGAGATGCGGCTGAGGAATCAAAAACTTACCCGACGCGGAAGAGCTTACCGGCAGCGGTACCGAGAGCAACGTTGGTGCCCTGGTAGTGGTGCACGGCAGTCTTGGAAAGCATGGCGTAGTACTCGATCTCGGACTTGCGCAGAGGAGGCGTGTTGGCCGAGATGAGCACGAGCTTAGCCTTGCCAGAGCGCATGTTCTTCAGGGCGCTCTTAAGGCCGAGGGCGACCTTACCAGACTTGATGACAAGCTGGAGCTTGGTGTTGATGTTGTCCTGGGACGACTTCTTAGCCTTGGGAGCCATTTTTCTGTCGAGTGCAAACGGGGGTGGTGAAAAGGTCGAAAGGGGGAGTTGGGTGGTGGAAAGGTTGAAAGAGGCCTCCAGTAAGTATCACGTGTGATGCTTAACTTTCGCAGGCAAGGTCCCTGTGACGATCAACAGGTCCAAAGTTGGGATGCAAAGTGAAGGTCGGCATGCTGCTCTCCTTGTAATGCAGAATCCCCATCGCAGCTACGTGTTGGACTCTCTGTGTTGATCTGCAATCCAACCAGCCGTGACAGATGACATCATGTTGTCCAGTGGGCACTACGACGGCTGTGTGGTGTGCTGATTGCCTCCGATGCGTCGAGATTGTCTCCTAGAGCCGAGGAATCGCCAACGATTCTGCATCTGTTTCTAGCCTTCCCACAATCGCTGCAATGTATGCCGAAATGTATGCCCTCCAAGATGCATCAGAGTCACCAGTCCACCTGCTCCGATCGCGGAATGCACCATGGTTCATGCCACCATGTTCCTGCTCTCTGTCCTTCCTGCTGACTCCGCCACGACTGGATCGGATTGGCGACCTTCACAGATGTGTCCGTGTAGCTGCGTACTGGTGTTGATGTCGTCTTTGATCACTTACGCTATGTTATGTATATGCGGTGAGGTCTGTGGTGACTTGGAGGAGACGAAAGGAAGGTCAAGCGTCCACTCGTTCGATACAGCCCGAATCGTCTCGCACACACGCACACCAACGAACGGGGCTCTCTGCTTGCCCAGAGTGAGGAAGACAGCCTCAGAGCGCGGCATTCGCACCGCTCCAGCCTTCCGAATGGAAAAACTAACATTGGCCGCTTTTTCGAAATTCTCAAAGAACCCGGAAATTTGGAAGAGAGCGCCGTGTAGGTGAACCTTTGCAGCGCCCGTCTCACAGAAAAACGGCACCAGATCGCGACGACCAGAAGTTCGAATCAACAAGCGTGGGAATTTTTCTTCACGTGATCTTTTTCGACCCAAACTCAGCTTGGACACTCTGGCCGGGCAGCCGCTCACGCTCGGTCCCGCAGGCCGAACGGGCGAGCCTTTGGCTGAGCCAGGCTGAGGGTCGAAATTGTGCCTCGAGAAGGCGATGCGCAGGCCTGACAGGCTCAGACCGGACGAGAGCCAGCTGGAGCGCCAGTCAGAGGTCCGCCTGCCAGTCTCTCCGAGGCTGAGAAGGCCGGGCGCGGCAGCGCGCATTGCAAGGCGTCAAGCTGGTCGTCGCTATCACCCCTTCCCTCTGCTCCCACCAGTAATTCTCAAGACATACTCTAGCCAAGGTAAGCTCGACACCGACATCTCGACCACGTATCTTGCACGAACCGAAGCTGCGATCGCATCCCATCCGTCCGCCAGGAGCTCAGCTACCGACCAGCTGGCAGAATCGCACGTCTAGTCACACAGCCAAAAACAGCACCACAAAGACTGCATCGACACATTACGAAAGACTCCCTTTGCGACATTATCGACCTCGTACACATCGTGCTGTCTGCATTCCGCCTTCGTTTCAACCTCTCAGCACGAAGGATCGACAACTGTGTCACACGACGTAAAAACCCGCACTATCAGCCTCCAGCCCAGATCGCAGCTCTCGGATCGTTTGCATAGATACCGGGACATACTTCGAACTCAAACTCGACTCAGCCCCTAACCACCAACCACCATCCCAACACTCTGCTCTACACTCTAAAAGATGACGAAGGGTACCACCTCTTTCGGTAAGCGACAGTAAGTATCTACCGATGCACCTTGCACACCAGGAGCAGCTCTTCTTGCAGTCGACATTGCGAGGCATGGAAAGCAATGGAGGAGATCATAGACCATGGAATGGGCATCATTCAGCTACACAGGCTGGCGTCGTTGATGGCAAGGACACGCAGGATATCTTGGCGATGTGGGGGCATTCGATCATCGGATCCATGGAGGATGGACGACCCAGAGCAGCTTCACCACGGAGGAAACACATAGGATGCTATTAGACTCGGATGCATTCGTATGACACATGGCCACGATTGTTATGGAAGCCAGAAAGGAGTGATACTCAGCGGTCGCCCATGTCAGGACAAAGACATGCATTCATAATGTCGACTGCAAAGAAAAGAATCGGCGCCGCGCCGACCGCCTGCAAACTGTGGGCAGTCGCTCACCATCTATTACCTTGTTCTTGCCACTTATAGCACCAAGACGCACACCGTCTGCCGCCGCTGCAACGCGCGTGCCTTCCACCGTCAGAAGAAGGTCTGTGCCTCGTGCGGTTACCCCGCCGCCAAGATCCGCTCGTACGAGTGGGGCCAGAAGGCCAAGCGCAGAAAGACCACCGGTACCGGCCGCATGCGCTACCTCAAGAACGTCGGCCGCCGCTCCAAGAACGGCTTCCAGACCGGCTCGGCTGGCAAGAAGGTCGCTGCCTAAACGCGCTCCCTCGCCTCTGATCTTTCGCCTCTCTCGCTGCACGGTCCTCTCTTGCATATCGACAATGGCCATCTAGCAGCGCGGGACAGCGCATTGTTCTCCGCCTTTTTTCGACATCATCTCCCCCAAAAAATACAAGACCAAGGGCCTTTCTTCCGGGCCGCGCATTTGCATATACTTCTCGACGAAAGAACGCCGAGAGATGGCATGGCGTGGCCGAGGGCGGGAGGGAAGTGCTTCTAGGTCTTGCGTTGGAGCGCGTTGCGATGCAGAGGCGTTTCTTCTGCAGCGCTACTGTGCTCGGCGCGTTGTACATCACATTCACTCTATCCTCCGCACCAACCCATCCCCACATCGTGTCGCCCTTGCACAAAATTAACATGCCTTTTCAGATCAGCATCTCTCTCTCAGTGTCTGTGCGTGGCTGCTGGCCAGGAACGAGTCGAGATGGAGAGACACAAGCGAGTCCAGTTTGAAAGATTTGGGATTGCAGGAGGTCAAG